TGAAGCAATTTGTGCAACGGGCGAGAATTTTACCCCACTGAACCTGAATCAAACGTACTCTGAAAGACAATGTATCACCACAAAAGATAGGCTGAGTGAGTGGACCCAGAAGCGTTTGCACGACAGGTGTCCTGCTGAGCTCAAAGGGAACGCCGTGAATTCGGGATCGTCAGTCTCCTGGCTAACAAAATCTAGCCTCTTTGCTGAGACAGAGGGGTTATTTATATTCAGCACGAAGTTACCTCCACTCGCAATTACCTAAGGAATGTGATTGGGGCTATGAGTGTAGAGGACCTCTGCCGCCTTTGCAATCAACCCGGCGAAACCCTTCTACACATAAGGGGTGGGTGCTCTTCTTTGGCACAAGGAGAATACCTGAGTCGGCATAACGACGTTGCTGCAGTTGTTCATCAGGCCTTGGCTGCAAAGTCGGGGATGTTATAGAAAGAGGTCCCATAATACTTGTTCACGCCGGATTCGGTTTTGGAGTCGAAACGGTGGAAGCTCTTGTGGAATGAAACAGTCACCACTGATCGCAGGGTCGAAGTCGACAGATTTGTCATAATATGGATTGATAAGGCCTCACGGAAAGGGATTATAGTCGACATAGCTATCCTTAGACCGAAATGTAGTTGCATCTATTGCTGAGAAGCGAAAATACCAGGCCTTGACTATTGAACTGAGCGACATGTGGCGGTTATAATCCGTTGAAATAGTCTCTGTGGTCATCTCTGCTAATGATCTGATCTCTGAAGTATTGATTTCATCGTCTGTAAGGCTTGGCCTTAAGAACTGACACATTCAATTAATGCAAAAGGCCGTTCTCCTGAGAACTGCACACTTCGCCAGGACGTTTTTGGGGATATAACTTCACGTTGGATCTTGACCGCCCGATTTTGCAAGCGAAGCAGATACCTTGTTTCTCCAAAGGTTCCGGTGTCTGCTGTAGAACACCTCGCTAAGCGACAGACTTGAAAGATAGTAATATAATAATAATAATAATAATAATAATAATAATAATAATAATAATAATAATAATTAAAGAAAATAAAATAATCTTAAAGAAATTCATCACCTCAGAGATGAATGGGAACGATGAGGTTCTAAGAGAGAGAACAGGGAGGGAAGAACGCCTGATTGAGTTGAAAAAAACAATAGCGCTGATGCCTTTAGCCAAAAAAATGTCTAAAACAGTGAGCAAACTCGCTGAGTTGCAACCTCAGAAGCCAAAGATAACGCTAGAGGTAAGGGATATCGACGAAGTGACAACCAAAGAAGTCATAGCAGAGGTGGAAATAGTGGTGGAGAGGAATTAGTCAAGAATTGATATTGAATGCGCACTGCCGAAATGTTATGTCGGAATGCAAACAGCATTAATAAGGGTTTCAGAGAATATTTCTTGAGATAGTAAGAATACGATTAGGGCTAGTGAACTGTGGAATTAGAAAAAGAATCCAAGTTTGTCGTTGCTTCCGGTGTCTGGGCTATGGCCAGAGGATGCAAGGGATCCGACAAAAGAAACTGCTGTTGGAATTGTGGTAAAGAAGGGCATACTAGGAAAGAATGCAAGGATAAAGAATGTTACGTAGCTTGCAAGCACAAAGGAGTTGAAGACGGACATGCGGGTGGAAGCGGTAAATGTTCCTTTTTCAGAAAAGCCCTTGTACGAATTAAACAAAGGACTTCTGGTTCCTGCATTTAAATCTGGGTAGAAGCCGGGAGCTCAAAATTTTCTGATGCAGACAGCGAGTCAGAATAGTATGGACGTGCTACTTCTTAGCGAACCTAATCGTCGACAGGACCTGGCTGAATGGTACCAGGATAGAACAGGGAGAGTGGCTATAGTTATATGTAACCCGCGAATCAAGGTGAGTAAATACAAGTCAACTAACCACGGCTTTGTGTGAGTGGAGACAGAGCCCCTGGAAATATACAGTTGTTATTCCTCCCCAAACGATAGACTGCAACAATTCATGGATAAACTTGAGGTACTGGAACAAAGCATAGGCGAATCCAAACGAGATGTATTGGTGACCGGAGACTTCAATGAGAAATCTCCCACGTGGGGCGAAGAAAGGTTGGACAGAACAGGGATCCTAATAAGCGAAATGATAGCCCGAAACGACATGGTGGTTAGAGATAGAGGAGTTACACCAACGTTTAATAGGAGAGACGCAGAAAAGTGTTCTAAGCGGTCATGGAAGACTCGGAAACTCAACGAAGAGAACGTGAAAAGATCCCCGACAGAATCTAGGTACATTCAAAAGCTACGGCGAGGAGTTCAACCCCAAACAATATACAGTATGGCAGTCATGTTATCCAAAGGGCCTGCAATTTATCGATGCCCCTAACGACAGTTAGCAGTTATCGTAGGGGACCAAAATATTGATGGACACAGGAAATAGCCCTACTAAGGAGTGATTGTGTAGCAGCCAGAAGATGTACGAGGGCGAAGGGGGATGAACGTCTGAAAAGGGATTACAAGCCGAAGAGGAAGGAATTCAACCGCGCAATAAAGAGCACGGACGTGTGCTGGAGAAAGCTGATATTAGATGTTGAAAACGATCCGTGGGGCATGCCTTACACAATTGTAATGAGTAAGTTGAATGGGAGGCAGAATATCTCTACTCTATAAAACATGTGTAGAAGAAATAATTAGACATCTATTTCCCAAACGCCCAAAAAGGAAAAGGAACAGCTATGACAAAACAGTAAAGGAAGACATGTTCACGACTCGTGAACTGCAAGAAGTTGGTAAATGTCTGAAAGCAGACCAGACACCTGGGTTGGACGAGATACCGAACGACGTACTGAAAGTAGACATTACAGAGTATCCGGACCTTCTAATGGAACTCTTCAATGAGAGTATGAGATATTCAGGCTTTGCCAAAGTCTGGAAGCGTTGTACTATCAAGGAAGGGACATAAGTCGGTGGATAGCGCATCATCGTATAGGTCCATCTGCTTTCTGGATACCATGGGCAAAATGCTAGAAGGCTTGATTCTTCAGCGCATGGAGAAGCACATGATAGAGCAGAGCAGCTTGGCTCATAACCAGCACGGGTTCCGTAAAGGCAGATCGACGATCGACGCTATCTGGGAAGCAGTCGAACTGGCAAAAACAGCAAAAGAAGGAAGCGGCAGGAAGAAACGCTATTGAGCCCTTATAGCAACAGACATTCGGAACGCTTTCAACTCCTTGGGCCGGGAACATGTAAAAGAGGCATTAGATAGACGGAATATCCCAGTCTATCCGAAGAATCTTATAGGTGACTACCTAAGCGAGAGAAGCATTAAAGGAGATAATTGGAGAATTAAAGAAGAAATGACATGTGGAGCCCCCCCCCCCCTCAAGCATCTCGGCTAGGACCAATGGTACAGAAACTGGTTTACGATGTCGCTCCCAAGGGTAGTAAATATTATTGGATTTGCGGACGACGCTTTGATTGTAGTCGCAGCAGGAAGCGAAGACATCCTTGAGATGCGAGCGAATGAAAGCTTGCATAGAGCAAAAATATGGTTGGGTAAACGGAAATTAGACATGGCGACAGAGAAAACAGTGGCAGTTCTGGTCACCAAGGAAAGGGGCTTTAGGAATTCGAGAATAGACGTGGGAGACAATGAAATACAATGGAACAAACACATGACCTATTTAGGAGTAGAAATCAACAATTTCTTGAGTTTTGGACCGCATGTGGAGAAGGTAGCGATGAAGACAATGGAAGAGGGAGGAAATCTAAAACGACTAATGCCGAATGTTGAGGGCTCGAGAGAAAAGAAAAGACAGCTGGTAGCAGGGTCAATTCTGTCCAAAATGTTATGTGCAGTTCCGGCGTGGGCGGGCGTTATGAAAGTAGAATAGTATAGGAGAAGGCTGCTGTCGGTACAGAGAGGGATAGCACTGAGGATCATCTCTGCCTACCGAAGTCTGTGAAAGTGCCGCTCTTGCGCTAGCAAGCGTACCCCCTATCGACTTTCTGATAAAGGAAAGGTCATCCGTCTACGAAAACCTGAAAGAAATACAGAGTCCAGAAAGGGAGAAGCAGAAGGAAAGGGTGAATAAGGTAGCAAGAGAGGAGCTCTTTCAGATGTGGCAAGAGCGTTGGAGAAAAGAAACGACAGGAAGATGGACTTAATAGTCCAATACTATACAGTATTAAGATATGGGTATAACGAAAGCACGGTGAGACCCATTACTGTACCTGACACAAGCATTCACAGGCCATGGAAGCTTCAGAAGCTTCTAATACCGCTTCAAATAGAACAGAAGATAACGCAGAACATGTGTTATTTTACTGCCGAGATTTTTAAGTAGACAGTGAAATAACAAACTCCTCTATGTATTGGAAAGGAAATCTCACCAAACAACATAGTAGAAGAAATGCTAGAAACAGAAGAAAACTAGACAAAAATTCATAACTTCGTGAAAAGAGTTATGATGAAGAAAGAAGCCCTCAGAGGACTGGATTAGAAGGATCCTAGAGTTCGCCGAGCCAGTCTGGCCTGCTGTTCTGGAAACCTTATGATACATAAAGCATTTTCCCTGCCTAAAGAAAAATAAATAAATAAATAAATAATAATAATAATGATAATAATTATAATTAAAAAATACTCTTTCTGGATCTAGATTTAATTTCTCATCCAATTTAGGTTTCGTTTAAAAAATACACGTTTTATATAAGAAATAAAATAATTTCATGCTATTACATGAGAACAAACATACAAGTGTACTCAACCTAAGACTATTAGCATTTGTTTTATATGAAACAAGAGGATTGAAGTGAAAAAAGGTTTCTTTATAAATAGAAAATGTTGATTAATTCAATTGTGGATAGATTTTAAATCTCAGTTTGGATAAAATAGAATAATTATATTGCGTAACTAAATAGTAAGCCAAATTTGAATTTTTAAAAGCTGCAGTTTGCAGTTAATGTTTATTTCACACAAGTGCATATATTTTTGAAATCTGTAGAGGAGAAAAGATAACTATTTAAAGAACAATATATCTGTGGGCACTTCTCTTCAGCTCAAAATTTATTGGGAACAATTGTTTACAGTCCTGTACAAATTTCATGACAAAAAACTTTTGTAGAAACATTTCTGTACAGTTTTATACAAATCAATACTTGAAGAAATTACCATTTATCACAAAGGATACTTTCTTCTTTTTTAAAAGAAGTTTATTAGATGGTTGTGGCTCAGCACTTTTCTAGAGGCAACTCACTCCCTTGGCTAGACAGCTATAAAACACCCACTAAGCAATGGTTGATCTTGTCTGTACCAGCACTGAACACAGCGTAGCAAAATTAGCTTCAAAAGGGTTCCAAATTACTCAGAAAATAAACAACTACATTTCATTGTAGTTACTTTCATTTTAGTATTTGTAGTTGGCATCAAAGAAATAGTATTTGGCAACACTGGAAAAAATCCACTGCTCTGAAGATGTACTGTTGTCCTCTTGCCATCTTGATTTGCAGATAATTCAACTTGCTTCAAACCATAAACAAACTGATTTCACCAGATGAATACCCCACACATTTAACAAAGCAAAATTACATTTTCTTACAATAAGCTCAGATTATCACCTTCTGAACCTCTTCAACAAACATGGACAATTCTGAAGCGGGGCATTTAAAATAAAGATAAAGAAGAGGGAAAGAAAGGGAGAATTGATAAATGTTTTGTTTTCTAACATAGTTCACCAAACACAATTAATTTTATTAACAGAAATTTAAATGTTATGAATTTCACTTATCCTGGTCCAGCCAGGTATTTGTGTTAAATGGCATGCAAGCTTCAGATATGTATTGCAGAATCTTTCCATCAATCCTACACATTTGAACAATGAAATGGAACATCTAGAACATATTTCAAGAATCATTGCATCTCCACTGATCAGTCCTGATTGTGTTGCTACTCTCTTGGTTTTTCACTGGATGTGTTCAACTGGAGAAACAATCCACAACAAGTAAAACTGGGATGAATGTGAAAAAATGACACTTTGTGTCAAGGTTGACAAAATTCTTTCCCAATTGGAAAAGTAAATGAGGCACTTGATAATGCAAACCCGAAGGTCTCGCCAAGTAGAGGGTGGGGCTTGCTGCTATAAGTGAGGGTCTGTGTCCCCATGAACTGAATCTCCACCAGAACTGGTCATTTGAAATGAGAGTGGACGTCCTTGGCGTTCTTGCAGTAAGAGCCGATGTGCTGCTCTGTCCATTTCTTCTTGAGTCATATCTAGAGCTTCTTGCATTTCTCTTGAAGTGTATCTTACAAAGTCAGGATCACAGTATTTGCCAAGGCCTTGTTCCACTAATACCTGAAATTATATGGTAAGTTTATATTAATCCTCTATTAAAGAAAGTGTGATTTAAAAAATCATCAGAGTACTTACTCTGCCAACTAAACTTTCAGCTGAACCCACCACCTCAGGGAAGTTAGGTCTTCGATCAGCTGGACTACCAGGAAGTGAGTGTGATAAACGCTCAGTAGCCAGACTTCCATTAGATTCACCTGTTCGAGACACTGAAATTGGAAAATAGACAATTTTGAAAAAATTTAATTGCATTGTCTAAATAATACTTCAAAGAATAATAAGAGAGAATATTAGTGTTCATATTAGTGACATGCTAAATGCTGAAGGCACATAAATTGCATTATTATCCAGTGCAATGGTTAATTAATACAAATAACTGTCATGCTTTTATGGTCACATCCTAAAGCATATAATGAATATGAAAAAGTTAAAAACACATTCACAAGGGCAGGTGAGGAACAGTCATGCATTTCTCAATTGAAAAGCATTGCTGTGTTGCATTTTTACTCGAGGATGCAACCTTGAAAAGCAGAACTGTCACTTGAACTACTATCCATTGTACTGTGTATGCTTGCAGGAGAAAGGGCAGGGGGGGGATCTGACCTCTGCCGTGGAAGGAAGCCCTGTGAGTGAGGGGGGAGCGTCGCCCATGCACTTGTGTCAGCACTGGCACCACTGCATCAGGCACGAAGCTTGCCATTGCCACTGCCATAGCCTGTGCTTGAGCCATCTTCAATCCACTTGCAATGCGAGAGAAGCTGGGCGATGTTTCTCGGGTGTCTCGTCCCTCTCGCCCCATGCAGCCCAGACGGAACGAGCCCCCCCCAACCCCTCTTGGGACTCGCCGGGGAGGTGGCGTAGGGGGGGTCAGCTCAGGGCTGTATTCGTCCTGCAGACTGTAAGGCAGGAGGGGCCACGTATTACATGTTAGTAGGAGCTCCAGGCACCAGGGAAAGGAAACAAGCCACTCGCACGCAGCACACCATGCTCCTCACTATATCCCCCACTCCCGCTTACCGTAATTGTTGGGGTGAAGAAACTGGACCCCGCTGAGTTTGCTGAAATTTGCACAAGAGCAAAGGATAGTTGGAGATAACATTATGTGAAAACTATGTGAGCAATATAAGCTGTTCTAGTTATTACAGAGTTTGATTAAACAGTATGTTACTTTGGAAGTTCTTTATTGAACCATGATTGATTCCACGCTTCTTTACTTACTCTATCACTTGATATGGTCGATAGCCCTTCTCAGGATCACCATTGGAAACAGTCAGAGGTCGAAGAGGAATGGATTCTTCTTCCTTGGGCCCACCAACATCTTGCACAGACATAGCACTGAAACAAGTAGAAATTGTGGACCTTGTCCATGAAATTACTGTGTACTGATCAAGTTGTGTTGCATTGTTTCAGTTGAGTTGGTTATGCCATAGCTTTCTTTGCTGTCTTTTACTCATGCTACTGTTATGGGAAATTGATCTGAAACACTCTGAATTCATAACAAGAGGGAACTAGGAATTCTGCAATGTCATATCATCCAATAATACTTATTTAGTAGTATATATCACTCACTTGCTACAACTACTGCAAAATTCTGATTTTGTGTATTTTGAGTTAATTGTGAGATGCAAATGTTCTGAAGCTCTTTTAATGTTATCATTATTCAACTCTATGGCTATGTGCCCCTTAACCCATACCCCTTAACCCATGACCACAAGACCTGGACGCTGCTGGTTGGCCTTAGCTTGTAAGAGCTCTTGTGCCAAATACATACATACAATATTCAACTCTACTTCAAAAACAATAAATGAGAGAAAGAACTAGTGCTGCGCATCTACATTACATTCATGAACTTGAAATATCAAATGTGTCTTGTGAATGCATCATTGTTTTAGCAAGGAGTAATATGTTTCAAGAGAATGGAGGAAAACCTTTAGCTTCTGAGGAGTGAAAATTGTAATATTTTTATGTTAAGTCAGAAGAACTCCACAAATTTTGTTGGATAATTTGAACAGAATATGTTTGAATCATATGATTGGTTCGAAAGCACCAGAAATGTAATGTTTACCGAGTTAAGAAATATGTATAATATTAAATTCTATGAAATGTAAATTTGTTTGGAAGGAATTATGGTGTATTTAAGAATATATTAAAAATTATTAATGTTTAACATTTATTTACTGAATATATTAATTAAAAAGTATAAAAATCATTATTCTTTGTGTTACAGACATAACAATGTAAACTTAAATTCTTATTTCATTCTTTGGTTCTGCAAAAATCTAATGTCTACATTATATTCATATTTTTTCACATACATTTTCAAGCATTACATTATATTTCCCAATAAGCCAAGAACACAAAGCCCAATAACTTTTTATTAAAAGTGCAGATTCTGCATACGCTTTGCAGAAAGTAACACTGTCATGGAGTCTCCTTGACACTTGTGACACTTAAAAAAACAATACTTTCGCTGAAGAAATTTCAGACAATAGTGAGCAACTGCATTTTTGCTTGAGACAATAAAAGAGGAAGGTACTAGGAAGAAGAATATTTTGAAGTAAAAATTGTAATGGAAATCTAAACAGGGCAGTATGACCTGGCAGTATGACAGACTCCACCTCAGCAGCAGAGGGTTAATTCATTATTAGTATGGTAACCTGTATCAGACCAGCACTTAACTTTTCAGTATCTTTATATTATTGGCCTATAAAATATTTGTGTAAATTATTTGGAAGCATAGAAAAACTCTCTTCTGAGATATGGGAAATTTTGTTAATTTACCTTGTTATATGCGGAACAAGAGCACTCTTCGTTATGCTGGTGATGTGATTCATGCCTTCTGTTACAGCTCTCTGAATTGAATTGTAAGGCAGATAATCTATTGAGTTGGTTGGAGATACCTGAAATAAGAATCAGTAGATCATAAAAATACAATTTTACCCTCTCTTTGGAAGTTTTGAAGACCATTAGTAGTTCTGAAAGCTAAACTTCAGCTTCAATTCATTTAAAGGAGTGCATTCTGACCACTGTACTATTCAATACTGTACTTCTTTCCTTTGCAACTTCCATAATTGTTCTAGAAAAATCTTTCCAATTATTTGATTTTAATAAATTTGATAATCAATTCTCTATTGAGACCTGAGAAATCCTTTATGAGCAATCTTGAATTTATTTTTAATGGTTTATGTTTCACCAGATCTATTAACATAACCTTTATAATTGCTTTAGAACATTTTTTATTAATCTTGCAAGTTATAATTGAATTACAACAGAATTTTTTCTTAGATAATTTTCCACACCCAAAATTTCATTCTCATTCCCACAGAAGCTTCCCATTCACAATACAATACTGCAGATAATGAACATAGCTTCTTTTTTCAGGGATACAGTAGGTACTGCAGGTAATACATATAGCTTAACACATGTATTATATAACTGCATGACTGGTTTTGATTTTGATAATCTTGTTTTGGTGATTCACGTATCGCACTTTTATTTATATTTAACCAACTTTCATTGTTAAGGATATTTCAACCATATTATCTTGTGATCAATTTTAGAAGTACATAAAATATTTTCCAGAAAATTTTTTGTATAAATTTTAATTGATTTTGGCATTATATTGAAAAGCTTAATAACAAACAATAGTGAAAACTTAATTATTGGTACATGTGGAGAAGCGTTCTATCTATTTAATGCTGTTTTTAACTAATTTTGTACAGAGCTGGGGTTATATATTTCAGTCAAAATTTACAAAAAAGTTTGATATATCTCTTCAAAACTATTTTTTTCTATTAATACTCCTAAACTGTTAGTTTAACATAAAGTAAATTAAATAATCCATATAGTCTACTTAAGTGCCCTAGCAAAACTCAATATGTGTATTATGTTGTCCTGTTGGTAAATCTATTGCAATGTAATTAGCATCAGGTTGCATTGGGTGCATGTACAGTACAATCTGAAATATCAATTGTGCTTTCTGCATGCGGAACGAATTTAGGAAGCAAAGTGCAAATTAGTTCAGCATTCATGATGATCTCATGCCTTTTATTAAAATTAATTATTTAAGCTTATGCTAAAGAAAAAGTGAAAATATAAAAATTTAGCACAACAAATACTTCTATGATGCACAAATAAAATGAGAGTATCAACTCAATTGTATAGATCATGTACTTATGTAAAGCACTTTGTCGTGACACTAGCATACACTTCTTTAGATGAAGCTGTGAACTACAAGCGTAATACATCTGGAACAGCTATGTGCTCTTTTGTGTCAACTAGAACAATATTAAATTTGAATGCTATATACTACTATATTTGGTGGTTGTGTTCTTTAGAATAATTGTTACTAGTAAGTTAAAAGATGTAATGAAATAGTTATGCATTATTTTGGCAGATACCAGTATTTTAATGTTCTTTATAATGTGAATTATTTGTAACACAAGTGATGAGGAAGGAATAAGCAAAATGGAAATGATTTCTAAACAACTATTAATGATGCACCTATTAGATGAAACAGTGACAGTGGACTAAAGAATGAAGCAAAGAAAACAAGAATTCTGGATTTTTATTAGGGCTGAAATGTGTATTGACTTGGTCAGTGGTATTACTTTAGTGAATATCTATACAAAAATGAGTCTATTATATTTGTTATTTCAAGTCAACAAAGTTGAATGTTACCTACACAGATCTCTTTCAAAATATCTTTTGTAAATCATAACATTATTTAAATCTCTGATAAAAAGTGCACACAGATAGTTTTATTCTTTGTCAATTATTTTTGCATTCCAATTTGAACTGAAGTGAACATGAATAGCTCAGTTGTCCATACAAATCGTGCCTATCACTTCAAATGTAGTTAATCTAAGTTTTCTGACTTGTCTTTAAAAGCTACCATGTGCACTAATATTGTATCATGCTTATACAATTTTCTTTCTATATGCCCTTTTTTCTTTTTCCCAACCTTCATATTTTTCTTGTAGTCTTTCATGCTTTTACTGACATATGTGCCTATATGCTTTAAGATCTATGTTGACTTTACATTTACTATGTATGTTCACATGTCCAGGATGATTCATTGCATTCACAATTTTCCATCAATGGGTTCATAACTAATGGCAAAGAAATTATTCCTGTATTTCTCACAGGTGTCTGGTACTTCTAAAAATGCTTCCTACCAAGTACTACAGAGTGTTATGACTGAAGGAAGCTCCGCTGATCGACAATATGGTCCAGATACAGGACCTATGGTTTTTTGGACCCCAATCCATGGAATTAAAAAGTTAGCATTTTGTCACTGTGTGTGTCAAGAACATTATTTCCCCTCATTAAGTGTAGAACACAGTGAAATGTATTACCTTAGGATCTGCTGATCTGATCTGCTGACCATATTAGCTTTTCTAAACTAATAGATATTGAAAAATATTGAATCTGAAAAAAGAGCTCTTTACCAGAGCATTTGCCAGCAAAATGTCTAAAGAGTTTTTTATCAATAAAATATTCGGAAAATATTGACGAAGAGTTTAGATGGAAGAAACTAATTTTCTTATACTGTAAATGCATGTTCAGGTTATTTACAAAAGCATACATTTTTTCTTTCAAAGCTGTATGGACTAGATGCTTTTTGCTCATGGAATTACAAAGACACTTAGTCTCATGAAAGATTCAATTTAACATTTTCAATGATATAAGTACACTCTAATGTTCACATATAATGTTCACATGTTCCTTGGCTTACTCTAGAGTGAAGATCTACAGATGTTAATATGGTTATCATATGTCTTTATATAGTATCTTTCAATTTTGCCACATTTCAAATATCAACATGAATATTTCCAAACGTTTGTTTATGTTCACAGTCAATGATCACAGCACAGTGAGTTGTTGAATAAAAAGACTTTTGTGTATTTTCTTGTAAATGTGGTTTAAATTATTTCACTTCATTTCAAAATTTTCTCATATATAATTATTTTGCTGTTATTCGCATTAATATCATTACCCAGAATGATCAGAATACATTTTTATAACTTGAAGTCAAAGATCAAGATTTAACAATGACACTTACTTTTAATGAACGGATGTAATTTTACTTTGTGTGAGGAATTTGTTATTAGGAAGATTCTGGTTTTTGACTCCTAAAATTGTTTTAATTATTACATATAAAATCATACCCAATTAACAGTTACATCATGAAAAATTTTTAAAACGACCTAAAAATTGGATAAAATATTAATTTTCTTATAGAAATATTGTACAAATAGTGTACCCTAAAAGGGTGGATATTTCTAGTCTAAAGTAGGTCAAGAAGAAAATTTAATTTATGCGAGCAAATGCTCATAATGTATCTGCAATAGAGTTTAAATAAAATTAATGGTGAAATTATAATTTATTATTTCTATTTAAAAAAAATTAGTCAATAATAAACTCCGTTTATACGTTGCTCTTTTTTTTTTAAGTCCCGGATAAATTTGTATAACTCCCGCACCAAATTATTTCAGTTATGCGTTTTACATTTTTCACACTTATACGTTCATTTTGATAAATAAATAGAGATATTGTCAGGTATCAATATTTTAATTCAACTAATGATCATTTCGATCGCGTAGCGATCATCCTCAGAGCTTGCAGCTTCTGGGCCGAAAACAAAGTTCTGCAGAACTTTGTTTTCGGCCCAGAAGCTGCAAGCTTTGAGGATGATCGCTACGCGATCGAAATGATCATTAGTTGAATTAAAATATTGATACCTGACAATATCTCTATTTATTTATCAAAATAAAAAAAAAAAAATAAAATAAAAAAGGTATCTACTTCACCAACAATCCAATTAATTATACGTTCATAATAAAAGTCCATTTTAAGACCGTATAATGTTCGGCCGAAGGTATTTTTTCCAAGCTAACCAGTGTTGTAATATGTGGCTCTGAGGCTCTGCGTTAAACTCAAAGTATAGTTCATCTTCTATCGGTTTTTGCGTCAGCGATATTATACGAAAAAGGGTGGTAGATAAAGACAATCCCTTTCAATATCAGACAAAATAAATATTATAAAAGTTGGTAGAGCAGCAATAAAAAAATTGATATTGCTAAAAAACTGGTAAAACTATGGTGTAAAAATACTGAGTTTTTATGTTGCTCATAATAATCAATTTCAGTTATGCGTTATTCTCACTTACACACTTTTTCCTTTCAGTCTCCTGAAAAACGTACGCTATAAGTGAAGTTTTTACTGTATATATACACATTTTGTGTTTTTTATTACAACAAATTCCATTCCCTGGTTATAATGCATGAAGATTTTGTATTTTTTCTTTATTTATGGTGGTTGCATAAACATCAAGGTCATTAGTGATTAAGTTATTTGAAGTACAAGTTTTAGAAAATTAGTTTAATCACTTGCACTATTTGCTACCTGTTTTCAAGCGTGTTAAAAAATATATTCAAGCAACTTAGACTCGTAAAAAGGTATTAGATGAAGAGTAAAAATATAAAACCTTTAAAAGTATGAAATTATGCTAGGAGGTATAGCTCCTGCATCATGCTAAATAAAGGGCAACTGCATTTAGTTGCTTTTTATAACAGTAAGTTGGTTACATGTCACAGTTGAAGCTTTTGCACTTAAAAGGCGTAGCAAATAACATTGCTCAAATAATGTGATTAAATAAATTCGTGATTTTAATCCCTCATGACCTGTAACAAAATTCTACAAATAATGCAATTGACATTTTTGGGGTTTTGGAACTCTATATTATTAATTTTGAAGCTTCCCAATCTATTCTCTGTTGTTCATTGAGATTATAGGAGCAGGATTCCACAAAATCTAGGCCTTGCCTCTTAATGAGCCTTAAAGTATCCTTCATTGTGTACAGACTATCTTCTCTTCCCAGGACAATCCTATTTGTCATTGAATATCATGTTGAAAACTTCTGGACCACAAGTAATGGCAAATTGTGTCAATGTTTCTGCAATTCTGCCAGACAGTTTTTAGTCAACTAAAAAACTGATGATTGAACATTGTTCAACATTGATTTAATAGCAGGATATTGTGTAAAATTTAAAATTGGGGAGATAAAATCTTACTTCCGCTTTAAAGTATCATAAATTTTTTCAAAACAGCATTACATTTTTTATTGTAAGCTCTAATTCTATAATGAACTTGCCATGTAAGCTTTTAAAATCCATGAACAAAAAATAGTTTTACAAATGTGTAATTTCTTATGTATAGTTAGGCATTGTTTTATTTTGTTGTTTGTTCAACATTGTTGCTTCTGCTTATTGGAGCTGTTATACTGCTTATTTAACAGAAATGCAAAAGTGCCATTGTTGTGTCCTTAATATATTCCAGGTCAATAGAGGTTTTTTATTTTTATTTATTTATTTATTTATTTATTTATTTAACTTAGAGTATGCAGGAGAACTAGAGTACCAGACAATGAAGTAATGCAGAAAACTACTACTCTATAATATTTTAAATTATTTTTGAATCTTCAATATCTACTTCAGTGAAAAGCATTGTTTCCAAGTTACAATGCAAAGTTTAATTTTTCTACGTCTTAAAATTGATAACTAATTTAATTCTTATAATTGATAATTGATTAGATATTAGTTTCTAATGCTTAATTAAATTTAAGATCTCTTCAAAGAGACAATTCAGTACTTTATTCAAGTGTATCCATTTATATCTGCACTACCACTGAACTTCTTATCACATTTTAAAAATCTATTTACATTTTATGCTTCTAGCAACTCAATTTTTACAAGCAAATGCTACATCATGCAAACAACAGACTGACTACCTTTCTAAGATTTCTGCCCGGTACATCCAAGTGATTCATCTGTGGAAGAAAGTAATCAATTCTGAACCAGGAAATTTTGTGTTTCTATGGCAGTGCGACAATGTGCTCACAGGTGGAGTTGCACAGTAGGATAATAGTCTGTCTAAGCACTCAAAATCTCTCTTAGCTCTGACTCTAGGAAAAACATTGATGGCAGCAAAATGTAATGAGGACTGAGTTTCCAAGATGTTGATTAAATGTTGACATTCATGCAACATGGAAGCAAAAAGCGTAGGGGTGAGATGAACGTGGACTGTTGGAAAAGGAGGAGGAACTGCGAGACATTCTATGAAACATATTCAGTCAAAGCATTAAAACAATTATTCTACTGCCTGCACAACTTTATGTACAGTCAATAAATTTACTGAACCTTGCTCAGAGAAAGATAGTATGGAAACAAGAAATTAGAGAAAATCGAAGAAATTAGTGGCAAAGGTTGGGAAAAATAAACAGAGATTTTTTTCCATTCTGTAGAGACAATAGCTGGAGAAAGAACATGATGGACTGGATGAAAATGGTATTTTGGAGAATTTTGGAGAATATGAATTCTACGTTGTCCTTCACAGGTGCCCAGATAGAGGATCAAATAAAGATTTTTTTTCACTATTTAAATAATAGTTTTATGGTTTTTTATTTCTTGTCAATAAATCAGGATCTTACTGCTTCTTCTAAAATCATGACATTAATAAAAACCATGACAAATTTAAATGGTGATGTTACAAAATAGTAACATCACCATTTAAAATTTTAACAGGGAAAAGAAAACACAAACAAAAACAAGGGAAAGGGATAAATTGTTCCATATATTTAAAGAAAGATTCTATGTGATTATCTTAATATCACATTTTACTGTTCTCTTTCAGTTGAAATGAATGTGTGCTCTGAGAAAATTCTCCAGTGTTATCAACTAGTTTTGCTAATTAGATTGAAAGCAAGTTTAGTGATAATTTTCACTTTCTCACCTTACTTCGTACAATAAAAGTATTGAAATCGTGTGCAGGAAAACAATGACTTTTCATCAGAAAAGCTCTCATAATGAAAAAGTGATGTTAATGATGTGCTCTGATAATGAAAAATTCTGTGTATTCAGATTCCATGTTCTGTGGGTCCTTGATATCACAAACACAATTGACAGCAAAACGTCTGTCTGTCTTTGACCCTCTGAGTTTGGAATGGATTGTTTCTTTTTCGTGGGTACTTTACTTGAAGCCTCAACAACATTTTCAAAATATTCTCAAAAATGGCATCAAATTTGTTGATTAAAATTTGTTCTCAGATAGACTACAGTATATTTAAAAGAGTGGCGCAGGTCTCATTTTTATTGAAATCCCCAGGTTTTTTGAAATTGCAAAAGTTCTAAATTTTGACCATGTTTTCCTATAATTACAATAAAAAAGATAGAGATTTTTTCCTTAAAGAAATCTGTTTGAAGGCAGATCTTGAAAGAAGATCTTGTACAATTTTTAGAAACTTTATTAGTTTTTATATAATTTTGTGTGAAATGTAGGTAATTTTTAAACAATTATTTCTCAAATTCCCAATTCTAGCTTCAAATGTTCTCCTCATACGTATTAAAAAACAGTAAGAAAAAAAATTGTGGCAGATCTATTTTCAGGGAACTCTGAATATTTGAAAATGTATCATTGCAAAAGTACAATATTAATGATTGAGATATTTTTCTTGAAGAAAATATGTTCTGAAAATCAGATCTTTAGAATAGGTCAAGTACAATTATTTGAAAAAAATTAGTTGTTTTCATATAATTTCTGCTTGAAGTTAAAGTAAATTACTAAAGAAAAACAAACCATTTTCTCAAAGAAACCCTTAACATTTTGTTATTTAACTGTTTTGCACTGATAGAAACAAGAGACATCTAAAAGAATGGCATAGGTATCTTTTTCATTTAACTCTCTGAATTTTTTAAAACAGCAAAAGTTAGAAATAATACAAGAAAATATATGCTGTTGTAGCATCACTAGTTTTTCTTTCTTTTCATTTTCATTTTCCCTCAGCTGTACATAGTATTGAGGAAAAATATTGGATTTAGCTAACAATTCAAGATCTAGATTCTATTTGGTAGTAAAATTTGTATTATTGACCCTTAAAAAAAGCGATTTTTACCATTATGTTTGGATGGATGGATGGATGGATGGATGAATAGATGTGTGTCATGCATAATTTGAGCACATCAAAAGCTTCTGACTTGGTATACATTTCAGAAATAAGTTCTATTAGATCAAAGATCATTAAGTTAGTATAATTTTTGGGGATACTTCATATACTTTTTGAAAATTCTCAAAAAGGCTTCAAATTTTGTTTTTAATTTTTTTTGGTCAAAAGAGGACAGTGCACTTGTAATTATGGTAAAAGGCCAATTTTCATTAAAACCCTGAATTTTTTAAAATTGCAGAAACTTAATTTTTTTCAAATCTGACATTTTAAAAACTTGTGTTACTGAAGCTTGAGATTCTTAATACAATCCATTCTTCAATCTTAGGTATTTAAATAATTTTATGCGGAGTTTTTCATAATATTATTAGTTTGCACATAATTGTGTGTCAAATCGTGACACGATATGTAAATATTATATTCTACATTTGTTGGAGGATTAAATATTTTCAGAATTTTATTTGTTAATGAGTGTAAGGATAAATATATTTAAGCTGTCACTTTCAAGTAATTCATAAAGTTAGGAGGAAACAATTTAGTATGCCACGTCTCATTTATGTAAAGGAAGAACTCTTGTTATGAATGTAAAAGAAATGGAAGGTAATGAGAACTGAGGTACCAGTCTAGTACAAAATAATGTAAAATTTAAATCTCATGAGGGAACATTAATCTTGAAAATGTACATTTTTGTTTCAAACTCACTAATAGAAAATTTGATGAAGTTTGGAAATATTTGAAGGTAGATTGCATTAATGGGAATGAATTCTAGAACGATGATGTAATGTATACACACCAAATTTATTTTCTGCTTGGGAAGTCTTGGCTGTTACCTCTCAGTTCATGTTATGTATGGTAATTCTTATAATGCAGTAAGTCATCTGACTAAACTGACAAAGAACAAAATAACTGAAATCTAGTAATAGTTATTCCTGAGAAAAAATGTAATTAAATGTGTGTTGAATGTTCTCATTATAATATTGCAAAATTGATTTTTAATTAATTTACCATTTATATAATTTTGGGCACCTGTTACGTGTAGTTATACATTACGATTTGTATTTCTAATTTCTCAGTTGTGAGACAAGGTGTTGTGTGTTGCCTAACACAAAAATAGGATCAATGTTGTTTTCTTTGTATGTCATCTCATTTGTTTAATTTTCAGTAACTCTTAGAATGATGGAGTTGGCTTCCAAGGGAACTGCCATGGTTGTAACTGTTTTACTGTGAATTCAATGAGCATTTCCAGCTGAAGATAGCAAATTTTATAGGCCATGCAACCAGACTTAGGTTGAAAAATGTGTGTTGTTGTGCAGTAAATCTCTTACTCATCAATTTGTGTTGGTTTCTTCTCTGATTCAGTCAAGCTTGTTGCTTCCCAAGAACAATGGTCTGATAACTACTAAAAATAATGAATAGTTACATCATCTCACTTAAGAGTTAGAATTTTAGATAAAGTACATTACAAATTTATGATATGTAGGAAGGGAAGTAAAACTATGTCAAAATAACAGCAATCAGTATGATTTTTTTAAAGTGTACTAATCAGTAAATCATTCATTATAATATTAAGTTATACACTCTCACTAATATGGTCGGCAATGTCTTAGTACCATATTATTTAAAAATGTTCATTGACCCATCTATCATGTTCTAAAAATATTTCTCTCTCAATTCAATATTAACTTATTTGAAGAAAGAAGTATAAAAAAAGAAATGCAGAGACTAATGTTACAAAATGAATTTAGTTATTTTGAATAATAATTGAAAGAATAAAATTTAATTATTTAATCTGTTTACAAAAAATTTAATTAAATAGCCAGATGCTAACAGAGAACTTTTTGACTACTAAAAGAAACTGATTTGAGACTGGAAGGACAAGTTTGAAATGCTGTTTAATTTTTTTTTTTATTAATACACTTATATGAATTTGACTTCTATAATGGAATGATCTTAAACGATTTCCATAAATCTGTCAGAATAATAAATCAAAAAATTTGAAATACAGTCAGATTTCCATATATCAAATCTGATGTCTTCAATAACAATCTAAATATAGAAACTTTGATACACAGAAATAATTATAAAAAATGTTTGCATACGTTTTAAACAATTTTAGAAATTTTGGGTGAAATGGAATACTCAACAATAAATAATTAACAAATATTTTAATTATTCATACCACATACTTATGTACAGTAATGTACAGTAACATGAAATTAGTAATACATAGTACCTGACCAAATCATTAAACTGAAATTAAAAAGAAATCGAATGTCTTGTTGCACATATTTTGCACTCAGCTCAGAATACTGTTCACACACTTGATAACCCAGTGAAATGTTTCATCTGAAACATTTCCTCTCAATCAAAAACCCTACTGATTTGTTGAACACAATTGATAGTATGTAGTGTACATTTTTATTTCATATAAAAATAAATTAGTCAAGTCAGAAAATGAGTTCAATATATAGAAATGTTTTTAAATGGAATATTCAAGGAACAGAAAAATAATTCAATTTGTAGAAAATTTTGATGTATAGAAGTTTGATATATGGATGTCCGGCTGTATAGTGAGATAGATTCAGTAGAACTTTGTTCTAAACTTTGTTTTGTATTTTTTACAAATTATATGAAACAAATTGTTTAAATTTTGAGGAGAGATGTTTTTAGAAGTTTAATTTTTCCATTTCCAACTCTAATAGTTTAATAAAATATAATATTTGGACTTTCTATATTATTTGTATTGAAATTTCATTTTATTGTCAAAGTAAAATTAATCACAATTCACGTTTAATGTGAACCATAAATGTAACACCTATGAAAGATCATGCAATTTTACCTACCTTAATCTGAGTTGAGTTTACTTTAAGAGAACGGGCTCGGTGAAAGCCTCCATGTCCTCTACGCATGGAAGACCAAACACTCCCGAAAAGAGAGTGATTACGCTGGAATTTCAAAAAAAGGGTTATGAAACTGAAGTGAAAATCAGGTAAAAGTTGTTTGATACATGGCTGTTACAATATTGGTACTACAAACATACTGATTTTAAAATGTAATTACTAAAGTAGTGTTAATTTCACAAGAGTTTTACATACCCTATGCATTGGTTCTGGATTGTCATCAATTAATTCTTCAAGATTTCCTGAAATTGCTCTCTTTAATTCAGGCCCTGCATCATGCAAAGTTCGAAGTCCAGCCTAAAAAAAAAAAAAAAATAGTTAGAAATTAATTTGCTGTGCCTTCTCAGAAACTAGACATTTTATTCAGAATTTAATTACCTGAAGAGTAACAGTGTTATGAGATTCTTTATCTCCATCTTTCAGTTCTTGCTCTTTCCTCTTTTTAAAACGTCTGAAATAATCTTGAATGAGGAATGTAGCATAAAATTTACCCACTGTTACTTCATCATCAACTGTAATGAATAGATATTGTTAAATTTGAAAATATCTTTCAATTACACTGTTGTGTACCATGCACAATAGTTTTCCTTCCCTCTTTGAGGACTTTTTTTTACCTCCTGGTGGTGGTACTACTTGATCAAGAAGTTTAGGACTTGTTCGTTTCCAGATTTTCTTGATAACTGCTCTCAGTTCTGCATTTGCATCATCTATATTTCCTTCAGTTTTTATTCTCAATGATGTACGAACAACGGCAAATAATGTTGCATTAAATAGGACAGTGCCATCACTATTTAGAGGCATATTCATAGATACAAGTCTCTGCAAAAGCACAAAAACTGATGTAATACTATTTAAAGATAAAATTGTTTTAATTCAAGCATATAAAGTAAAAAGATCATTTAAATATTACAAACATACATACATTCATTTATACAAACATTTATATAACTTAACATTTATATATTCATACAAACATTTACATAACTTAAATATTTAATGTACCTTACAAGCAACTCTGTGAGGACAGAGTTTACCAAAACCTAAAGGTGGAGAAATCTTTCGTAATAGAGTTACTACATCCAAATGCTTTATTCGCCCTTTAGCATCTGGATCATATTCACTCCATAAGCGAATGAACTCATCCAAATGATGTGGGCCCAGAATTGACCAGTCTCTTGTAAGGTAATCAAAATTATCCATGATGACAGCAACAAATAAATTAATGATCTGAAACGAAAAGAATATTGAATTGTCTGAGTTGTATTTTAAACAGTACTATTTCAATAGAATTTTTGAAATAGGAAACCATCTCAATGGTTGCAGAATATGTATGAAAATCATCACATTTATCAAGTGTTTCACTAAAAATTTCCTCTCATTAGTTTTCCCTAAGTTACTGTTCTGCTTAGTTTCAAAACTATTTAGATTAAAATTTATGTGATTTTCAGAATAAAAGTGTATAAATTATATATTCTTCCATAATTTCCTTACATTCAAAGAGCTGCAACTATTCAAATAAGAGTATATACATTTTGGTTTTGCTCAAATAAAAAGTAGAAATTTCAGAAATCTAAATGTTAGTGTGAATGTAATAGGATATTGATATTAGTTTCCAAAAGTTATTGTTAACATTTGTAATAAAAATTTCAACATTTTGATAGTTAATACTAAAATACTGGCACTTAAAATATTGACATTATTTTAACTTTCACTTAAAATAACATAAATGGACACTTAAAGTAATGATATTATTAATGATTTGATGAATTATGGGTTTTACAAGAAAGAGAGAAACATTCTCATACATACAAGAAAAGAACAAAGTACGTAAAATGATATGAAGTAAATGTAGGCAATATCTGAACCACAAATATTGGCAGGATCTTCATCAGATTTTTTGTCACATTTCACGTTATCAATAGCTGCACATGCCAACATAATTTCTTGCCATGCCTCTCCTGAAAGTATATCAAGTTTGGAGAATTAATTTAATTTTTTTGTATAATTAATATTTGAACATTACTCTAAGTAAATAATTTTACCTGTTGCTGAACGGAAGAGTACAAGCACTGCTTGTGGAAAAGTTTGGAAATTATTATTACGGTGTATTGCTGTTTCTTCATCTAGAGCAATTTTTCCAAAGAGCTGTAATAACACGTCAGAATTAATAATTTTTAATTATTTAGGGGTAATGAGAGATATTTAAGGATATTTAGAAAATTACCTGCATTCCAATAACAGCATAAATGAAGAAAAGCATAACAATAAGAAGAGCAACATAAGGTAGAGCTTGGAAAGACTTAATGAATGTCCATAGGAGAGTTCGTATACCTTCCCCTCGACTGAGCAATTTAACTAATCTCATAACTCTAAATAATCGGAAGAAGTTAATTGATATCATTGTTGATCCAGGCTGTAAAACAAAATGAAAAAGCATACCAATTAAAAATTTGTATTGACAATTTAAATCAAGGACAATATTTTAAAGACTTTTTGATTGGAACAGGTCATGAAATTTATATTTTAACACAGTAGTGTACATGTGAAAGCTAATTGAATGGAATTGCTCAATCCCATATAACTGAAATTTTTTTTAAAGATATTTCTTTAGAGTTGTTGGCAAATTTGTAAATTTTTTGAAAATTTATTCCAACAAAGTTAAAAGATATTAAAGATTAAATTAATTGAAAATGAAATCGAAGCCAAAACTGTATTTTTTGATTTAAATAAGAAAGAAGCAAGTGACATATTGGTAAACTTCTATAAATAATATTAAATTTAGACCTCAACATCATAAAAAAATTTCTCAATATTTCTAAGGAAAATTACATATTTATCAAAGCATTGCTGGTCAAAAAGACCCTAAGTTGACTCTTCATTTATTCAAATACCCTTTATCCTCTTGTTGTACAAAGTGCTGTTACGAATCTTAAATGATTTTAAAAATTCATTTTATATTTATTTCTAACCGATAAGCTTCTTGTTTACCATATACATAATTTTCTAGAATTTATTCAATGTATTGGAAATTAAATTAAACTGGAGAAGAAAGAATCACTTCAACGGTACTATTAGGTTAAAAAAACTATACAGATTATATTGGAATCGCAATTAAACAGTAACTTCTGTTCTCAATAAGCAAACCAAATAGTGTCCTAAATAAGTTCAACAGAAACAAAATTGATGTCATAAGTCTTTAGTTAACGGATAATATTACATGATTTAAGACTTATGGCATCAATATCACAAGTATTTAGGGGTGTGTATGTGCATTGTGTATCATACACACATAAATGCATTATGATACTCTGTGTCATATGCACACTTGCATTGATATATAGAAGTCATTATGTTTCAATCATATCCAATCCCAATGCTATTCATGCTTTCATGCTTTTTTATCATTCTAATAAATTTGCAGTCTGCAAATCCTTGCAATATTAGAGAACCTGTGCGCAGCTGTATGGAGTATAATATAATGTTTTACATTAAATTATAACATATAACACTGTACTGAACATACTCACACCTGAGCTTCATAAAATAATGTCTCTTAAAAAAATTATCTGATTGTTGTATGAAACTAATACTTCCTACCATTTCAAACCATGCAGTTATTGCAACACACACATATATATATAGAGAGAGAGATCCTTTGCACACAAACATTGAATAATATTAAAATGCCATGCAATGCAAAATTTTCAACTGCATACAAAATTCAGAACTTAAAATTACATAGAACATACATACAAAATGACCATTTTACACATCCATCAAATCAAAGCATCTCAAGACAATGGTACTTAAATTCAGTCCTTATGGAAGATGAACATACTACCAATGAATATAACTCAATTAATGATATCTCACAAAAAGTAAGTTTGCATGTGATAAATCCTTTCAATTAAAACTAGTAAGTAGTTAAAAGTACTCCAAGAAATTCATTATGCATAAATAATGAGAAACTGTATTTACTACAGAAAATGGACTTTCAACACATAATATTCAAGAATCTTATCATAAATAAAGATGAAGATTTTCATGAAAATCTCCTGAAAGTTTTGTAATTATTTCCTTCATAAAGAGGGAACAAATACAGAAATAAGAAACAAAATGTTAACAAGAGTAAAAAAATCTACAAAGTAGTACTATTGAATATTATTAGAACTAATAAATCAGTGGTATGGTCTACAACCTGGAAAAAGCAAGGCAATCGGTTTCAAGCTACAAAGTTATATTTCAACTGATACTAAAAGTATGTAGAATTAGAAGATCAAATATTACGTACATTGTATATACATTACATTCATAATGAAATTAGACATTCTTTCAGTTGATAACTTAAGCTTTCAAAGAGAAGCTTTTCTAGGATACTCAAATGATCCAAAAAGAGGAAAAGAATTATGATACATTCTAATGTTAAATTCTCCACAAATATGTATAATATTGGAGTCGAGTCATTTGGAAAATTTTTATTCAAGGTAAATTCTAATTTTTAGAAATAAGTTTAATAAATTCATAAACAAAACAGAATTTCACCTCATAGAATCCTCTTAATCTCTAGAACCTAATGAAACTCTGAAAGTTTTATAATTCAATTAATTAAATTTTACACATTTCAGAGAATTTAAACATTAGCACAAAATGTTACACATAATCAATATTCTCCGTATGTAATATCTAAAATCCACTCATTTCAAACCTTTTCTACTAGGTGAAATAATGTAGCTACATGAAAACTGAAAATTCTGTGGCATTTTCGACATGCATATATATATTCTATAACATGAGAATGCTACACTAGCAATAAGGATAGAAAAAGATAGAGACAGAACATTACACTGAAACTATCATGCGGTTCAACAAATGCCACTATATTGGAGCCAACATCCAAATATGATTGGGCATTCACAGATATAGAACCTAACTCTCAGAAATAATTTAAAATAGATAAGTTAATTTATTTATTAGAAGACAATCTTTTGTATTCTCATGAGTTGGTCTGTGGTAAAGAATCAGGTTTCTTTAAGAAAGAATTTATGCTCAACTCCATTTCATTACAGTAGAATTTATAAATTTAGGATGAGCAGTTTTAATTAAATATTTATAGTATTTTTAAATGAAAATGTATTCATTATTACTCTAGTGTAATCTAAGAACATGGAACACTCGGAACTGTTTAATTATCAATTTTAAATACAGTTTACAATATTTTAATTAGTTTTTAAATTTCAATCATATGTATTATAATGAGATATTCATCTAAATTCAAAAGTAAGTTTATTCAAAATATTCTGCCTACACCAGTACAGATCTATTGTTGTTCAATATTCAGTTTAATACATCCTTACATAGGTGACAGTGTTATCCTTGTTCCTATCATAATAAAAACAAGTTCCTGTATTTAGGTAGATCTGTGCCAGGAGATTCTTATGAAAGAGAGTTAGCTTCCTGCTTTCCCCCTCATGTCTATTTTACAGTCATACGCAACATGAATGCGACTGACTGCAATAATCACAAACCTTAAACCTTGTAGGAGTCTGCAATGATGAGACATGGAAGGAAAGATTTTTGTTAGTGATTCATTTTTTTTAAAGATTTTGAAAGTCAGCAATATTCACAGTGTTTTGTGTTTGTAAAGTTTTCTTGGATGTTGTATACCAGTTATTCAATAGTTTGCGTTTAAAGTCATCTACAAGATTGTCTAACAATGCTACATTTTCATCTAATGAAAATCAGAAAACAACATCCAACTACACTTCACAATAAATATCGAATAAATATTACATGTAAAATTGTTACTGAACAAAATAATTAGCTGTGTATAATGAATTCTATGTTTTTGTTGATTAAAAGCTAACTACATGCATCTATGCTTCCTAAAGTAAATACGTATTACTTCACACATATCTTATAAATATGAATGAAAATTTCAAAATATTATTCAAGATACTGAATTAAAGTAATCCATATTGCTCCTGATAGCAAGCCAATATATTCTCATGAGTTTATATTTTTGATATTGTATTATATTTTATTCAGGGTACAAATGACAATAATGCACTTTTATGGCAAAGATTGACTTATTGTTCTTGAATTTTTTTTGTATCAAGCAATCAAAATACAAATAAATACAAAGTTTTGAACTATTTTATCATTATAATTTTCAAGTTAAAAGTATTACAAACAAAAAGTAATGAATTTAGAAATAACATAATTGTAGATGTGAACGTAAATTTTGGAAATATGATTTATTGTGTTTTTAATTTTATGTATGTACACCTCCAGAACAGTGCTGTCCTTATTAGTTAGAAATAATACTTTTTTTTTTTTGTTTTGTTTTTTTGTTTTTTGTTTGTGACACAAAGAACTTGCTATACAAGAAATATTTTATTAAATGGAACATGTTTCACTAATAAATAAACTGACACGATTTTCAAAATAAGTAACAATCTTTTAATGTATAATCTGATTTGTCATACTGTATATTATTTACTCCATATATACAAATAATTAGTAGAAGTAAACTTATGAATTAATTTACAGCTACAGAAATGTTACTACAATGAGAATTTGTAATACATTTTTCAAATACAGGGAGAGACATATAAATATAAAATGTGATTTTCTTTAAAAAGGTAATTGAAACAAAGCTTATTTATTTGTATAAATACAGAGTATTGTGATCAAATTAAATAAAGTCGTAAATTGGTTCCTATTCTTCACTTTTGTCTTCAAGGAAGATATTTTTTAGGATTACTGTTTAATCATTCTTGTAATGGACCAGCTCTTTTCTTTATTATGAATTTAACTATTTTAAAATGTTATGTTTCAAAAAAAGAATTGTTTGTGCAGACACTTTTTACATTGTGAAGATGCTCTAATATCCATTTCCAAATGCAATTAAATAGTATTTCTTTATGGTTTACAAATATTTACTTGACTGAATTAGCTAATTCCAACTAATTCTAAATCAACTTGTTACATATTTTGTCATTATGATTCTCTCCTCTTGTGTTTGTTTGGTAGTTTATTCTTCTAATTGATTTGTACAATTCTTTGTTTTCTTTTATAAGAAATTCAATTTTATAATACATTATCTATATTAAAAAAAATATTTCTAAGTTATGAAAGCAATTTTAATATTCTTGTTTCAGTTTCACCCAACAAATGTCACGATTGTTAAATGTTGCATAATTTATCCAAAACTTAAAAGCACTGTTTATATAAATGAGAATATAGAACAAATTATATACAATTCAAACTTATTCCTCTTCAATAATTTCCCTTGAAATATTCTTTTGAGAGAGTGCACTTCATATTTTAGCTGTCAGTGAATTCATAAAACCAGTAGTGAGGACCAAAACACAAAATAAATTAGAGAAGCAGAATAGTTGAGATACAGAAAAGTTATTTTACTTTATTTATTTCATCTAGAGTATTTTGAGGCACATTTCTATCAAATTAATGTCTGTATGTATTTTAAGGCAGAACGTTTCTCTATTTTTCCACATATCAAAAATGATATTGTAAATAAAATTTATTTTAAATTTTTTCCAAGTCTGTCTTTAGTTATTAGAATATTGAATTACTCTAGATGTAAATTTTAAGACCATACCCACATCACCACATACAAAAATACACAACATAGAATAATGCAATGCACTCCTATTCTGAGGACACACACTCAACATCTCTATACATCACATGCTTTACACTTTTCCCACCAAAAATACACACTGGAAACACACCATGCATTTACATGCATTACTGAACTGGCCTTGTACACCCATGTCCAAATAATACCAACATTCCTCAACTTATCATCATGAAGATAAAATATAATTGCAGCAAACTACCATATATGTAACATAATATAGTAAAACATAGAACAACTGATAAACATGAACATTATTACATCTTGAGATATTTTTTTTCTAGATTCTTCAACTAAAAGACACATAAAAATAACTGATTTCTATTTCACAATTTAGAATATTTTGCTCTGTATGAGAACAACCATGCATTAAATCCACCAAAAATATGAAAATTCTAGAATTTCATAACATAGCTTCAAGAACAGTCACAAGTGCACAGATAGATCATTGGAAAGATTTCAATATTGGTACACAATTTAAATTAAGAAGAAAACTTGAAATGTAGGAAGTACCTCATATTTTTTGTTACTAGATATATTATTTCATGTGGTTCAGTACATGATATGAGCTAAAAAATTGATATCCCATTTTAAAGTAAACATTGTAGCATGTATTTTTTTTAACAAAAGAAGGTTTTTGCCCTAGATTCCCCCTTATTGCCCTTGATGTCAGAAAGACTTATATTAAACTATCACATAACTTAATTGAATGATGGGTTGGGATTTAGGATAATGGGAATGAAAAAGTGTTTATAAAAAATTTTATCCCACAGAACCAGATATACAGAAAAATGTAAATGTAAAAATATTTCATTTCCTAAGCATTATACACATTTATTCAAGTATGTGTGTGGTTTCTTTTTCAGAAAGAGATCTTTTCATTCCATTTCTTTTCTCCTCTTTTTTAATGTAATAACATTACTGTGCTTGGACATGCCTGTACAAGGCTCCTACCAAAGTCACTCTCGCCAGCCCCAGAACACATCACAACCTGTCAGTGTCCATATGGAAATATCCCCAAGCAACCCTCTGATAATGGACTTGCCACGTCATACTTCTTGGAAAGCTCACTGAAAACTTGAGTAGAAACCAACATTGATACAGTATTCTGAAAACTGGAGCAACAATGTAATGCAGTTGTATTAATAACCAAAGGTACTGAAGCTATTTAATGTGCCAAAGTAAACACATTTACAAAATAAATATATTTCTTGATATTTTATCATACTATAATCTTGAAATTTATAAAATTTCAGAAATCAAGTATTTATTTTTAATTTATCTTAATACGATTATTATGCAACCATAATCATTATTATAAATCTATCAGATATCTTGTCTTAAGAAAATAAATTTTAGAAAATTGTTAGCAACTGTAATATAAAATCATCACAGTTGTCATTTTTTGTTCAATTTTTTTTATGGCTTAAGTTTCATTTTGCCTATCAGTGTGAAAAGAATAGTCTCTATTCCCATGAAAGTGAACATTTATTTCCACCTAAGTCCATTGGTGTTATTGCACACAAAAACTCAGCATTCTCTATAAATTTTACTCACGTTCACCTCATCATAGACGATGTCAATGAAACTTCCCAATACAATGATGAAATCAAAAACATTCCATGCATCACCAAAATAATTCTGAAAAAAGAATTCGATAACAATCAGATTTTGGAGAACACAGAAAAAAAATCAGTGCTTCTGTTTACACATTATAAAAATTTTAAGAGGAATTACAACTATGGTAAGAATATATTTCTGCTTCATTCATTAAAATTTTTATGAAACTTGAAACTAATTTATGATGAAGAAAATATATAATATTTTTGGCACGTACAGAAATCATTTAAAATAGATTTTGAAATAAATGTATTAACACTAGTAAAATTATTATATATTACCTTAAATCGAAATGCTGCAAGTTTGAAAACAAATTCCATCGCAAAAACTGATGTGAAAATGATGTTTAAGGCATCTAATACATCAGTGTAAGCTTTTGGCTGGTTGTGAAATTTCATAGCCAATGTAATTGTATTTACCATAATAAGTATAAATATTGTATATTCAAATGGTTGTGAAGTTACAAACCACCAAACTTTATACTGAAGTCTGTGTTTAGGAATGTATCTGCGAACAGGCTTTGCTTTTAACGCAAATTCTATACAATTTCTCTGTAAATGACAAACAACTTGTATTAGAACCACTGTCAATTTAATTGTGAGGAAATGCAAGTCAAATGTTTTTTTCCAAGCCATTATTAATCTTATTAAAATTACCAAATGCTATTAATGGAGTAATTAATTCAACACTAAGCTTTAGTACTTTATATTTGAAATTATGTCTAATCTTGCATATTAAAGCAAGAATCCTTATTTTATAATTTCCATTAATAAGCTCGTAATATTAAATTTCTCATTTCCATTAAAAGCTCATAAATTAAAGAAATCTTAAGAAAATTATATCGGTTTCAAAACTTGCTGTCCACTTATTTTGGAACAACAGAACAATACATACAGTACACACAATATACTTATACATTTATAGCCATATTGTATAGCAATACATATACCTGATTCTTGTCCAATTCACAGTTTTTATACTCTTGTTCACCTTCATTCTGAAAAGTGACGATAACAAAACCTACGAAAATGTTGACCATGAAAAATGCAATGATAATGATGTATATAATATAATAGGCAGCCACAATTGGGCGAAAGTTGTGTATTGGTCCGTAGTCTTCCATATTGGAATCAATAGACACATATAATAGCCTGAAAAAAAAGGATGTTAAATTCATTTATTTTATTTTCTGACTGTCGTATTAACATGCCCTTTTAATATAATTAAAAACATGAGGTTACCCTGGCCAGCCTTCAAATGTAGACACTGTGAAAAGAGTGAGCATTGCTTTTGCTACATCATCAAAATGAAACTTGTTGCGTGTCCATTCTCGATGTTTCACTGAGGGTTGATTTATATCACCTTCTTCAAAAACTAAGTACGTACCCCTGAAAGAAGTCAATATGATTTTACAATAATCACAGTTCATTTCATTTTTCTGACCTGGACTTACAAGAAATACTTTAGAGTTTAGAAATAGAAATATTTAATAGATTCATTGCACAGCTTATCTATCAATAATACGATTTTTATTTCTTTAATCATAATAAAAAAAAATTAAATTTGTATTTGGCATAATAATGGAAACAAAAAAGTTTAATTATACTCACTGACATTCTTCTCGAGTCATTTTTGATCCGTCTGAACACATGAAGAATTTTCCCTAAAAATTATAAAAAAATAATTATTGTATTGTCTACAAGTCTTTTATATCTCCTTGCCATTTTTATTACCTGTGAATGTCAATGTAAACATGCATTTATTGTCAGAATAGTTACTCCTATCATTCTTACATTTAAGAATAAACACTATCCACTGAATAGAGAAAACTGCTCCTACAATTAGCTTTACTGTCTGAAAAGATTGTAATATTTTACACTTTTTTTCAATAAAATGTAAAATTGATTTATTTTATCAGGGAAGCAAGACAATGTAATTATTTGAAAGTCTACCATTCTTATTTTCAAGTGAGCCAGATTCACACATAAGCAAAGCATGCAACAGGCCTCTAACACTTAAGTTTTAATTATTCATTCTTACCTAAATGAAAAACAAATATTCTAGAAAAAATCTGACTCTAGATAATCAATTCATTATTACTCCTCTATAAAATGCAATTAAAAATCATATGTAAAAATTATAAATGCTTCCTTTTCATGGTTTTAAAAAGTCGAAAGAAAATTATTAAGGGACACAATAATTCTAGTCAAATGACTTAAATGTATCATCCTATCTGGAAGAAAGCTATGAGAAAATTATACAAAACATAAAAAGTAGATAATGCATTGCAGTAACACATTTTCTTAACTTCAACCTATATCAATGCTTAAACATATGTATAATTATCTTGTATCTTGTATCTCTTATCTTGTAAAGAAACAAAATATCTGTAATGTTTCTACCTTCTGATATATTCTAAGTGTTCAACAAATACAAGAAATGATAAATTCAATTTTAAGACAATGATAAGTTCCCTGTAAAATGTGAGAAAATAGCTGGAAGTTGTGTCAAACAAGGTAGAAAATTAAATTTAAACTATTTCATAGTTCCAAATGTGCAATAAATGAGTGAAAAACACAGTTATTGATGAAATAGCTTTTTAAATAGGTTTCAGTATTTTTGACTGTAGGTATTGCCTAGCATCTAATCCTTAGGTATTCTGGAAAAAATTTAAAATACTAATTGGAAATAATATTATTTTTAATTCTCAAAAATACTTAACATGCATATACTGCATGCATTCTATTTTGGTGAAATGTGAAACAATTTTACTACATTTATGAATAGTATTTGAACAAAAAATAGTCATTGGCATAAGCATTTTATGCATTCTATATTTTCAGTGCATTAAATCATGCTTTATGCTTTAGTTTGTTTTGGAAAATTTCTACGAAGCATACTATTAAGCTTCCCATATACATGGTGAGCATGGAATTAAATATGTAAATTATCAATGACAGTTTCTAAAAGTAAGTTTAAATGGTCATTTTAAAAATCCCTTATACACAAATTTCTTTTTTTTTTATTGTCTATTGTTTCTAAGATTTTTTTATAAATACATAATTATATCTGCAATTAGAAACACAAACCTTTAACCTTTTAGGCTTGCTTCCTTTCCTCAAGTTATTAGATTCATGCATGGTTTAGCAGCATAATACACCAAGGAATATTAATGCAAACTATCATAAGGAACGAGTATTTTACAGCCACAGCATACTTAAGTGTTCCAACAAGGATAGCTACATGATTTGGCATTATTTCTCAAAATTAGGGATCATAGGGTCTTGGGTTTGAGTTCCAGGACATATGTATCTCCATTTCCTTCCATGTTTCCTATGTTTTTGTCAGTCTCATCTTACTCCACAGACTGGGTAAAAATGCATCAAAAATGTCTCTCCCTTTTCCTCTCCTTTAATACTGAGTATAATTAAGATAATGTTAAGTTGACCCGCAACTGGTCTTTGAGAATGCCTGTGGGGTTTGTAATAAAAGGTTTCAGTTATGAAGCCTTCACTCCTGGAAGAGGGACTGTGGCAGTAGCATGCTCCAGCCAACTTAATGCCTGAAACATTCGGGTACTCGATGAGTAATAATAGTAGTAGATTTAGATTTAGATTTATTCAGTAAAAAAAACGGTAAAAACTGTATGTGACATAGGGGGTAAAAGATTATCTGTGCACATTTTCTTGAGTTCCAGAATCCCTTCCCATCATTCTAACTATAAATAGTTGAAAGGTGAGTAAAAGTTTAACATAAATAAATAAATAAATTTGAATAATCGTAAGATTAGCAACGTTTGAAAAATAGTCATTTTCATTTCTTAGTTATAAAAAAACTTATTTGCATCGGTACACGAATTGCAAGTAAGATTTTTATGCATTGCTAACAACATAGCAACTCGCCCTTACCTCTACTCTTACCATTACTAGCAAAAGGAGAGTTCAACAAAACGTGCACATAGTGAAGCTACATTTATGTCCAGAAGCAAAACAAAGGGCCATCTCAGCATTTGCTCAATGGATCAGGGAAACGACAAAAACCTGATCAAAATGGGGGTTATTGACCCGGAAGCAGAAGTACATTATTTCTTACAAACATATAGCCTTTTTAAAAAAATTATACAATATAAATGTAAACTAATTCATTATATGAGTATATTACTGTTTTGTTAAAATAAACATTATTTTTCTTTTTGATAATCGGTATAGTCTCTAACAGTATAGAAATAGAAAATATTTTACTTTTAACTTAAATTTGTGAACCGACTTTAATTGTTTAATAACATCTGGCAGTGCATTGTAAAGTAAAGTACATGTATTGTATGTGAATTTCTGATCGTGAGCTGTTGATACTGACACTTGATGAATGTGATTTTTACGACATGTGTTATAATTTTAAACATCAGTATTGCATGAAAATATGTTCTCACCATTAAGTCACTTTTGACAAATATTATAGATTCGTAAATATATAGGCAAGGCAGTGGTAAGATTTCAAGCTCAATGAAGAGAGGCTTTCAAGGGTAACATGGAATCTAAAGGTCTGAGTACTACATGAGGAGTTTCCCCAGAATTTTATACCATATCTCAGGTGGGAATGTACATTTGCAAAATACACGCAACACGCTGCATGAAGGATGACAGAATTAGTAGTAGCAGTAGATTGAATAGATGTGGGAGCCATTTTAGATAAATGAGAATGAGATAAAATTCTTCATGCTGCTTCTGTAGAATGAATTGTGGTCTTCTAGCTAGTAGCCAGTTACCTCTCTTAGCTACTGCTCCTTGTCTGAGAATGGAATTATTCCAACATTGTTCCTGAAGTGAACCTGTCATATGAGAAATTTAGCTGCTATTTTATTTCATTAGTCATTGCATTTTTGTTTCAACCAGCCAATAGAATTTTTATTTTCAAGTTTAATAGTATATATTTGGGATGTAGATTTTGGATTTAAACAATGTTTTAGGGCTGTATCATATAGTACTGTTTCATGAGAATATTGGAAAAATTGTTTCAAAAATGCAACACAGTTACATATTCAAGATACATAAACATGTGAAGACGTAAAAAGGAGGAATTTTGATCCACCAATTTATATCACATGATTTTACCAGTTTTCAATATCCTAATTCTGGACATTACCGGTAACCATTTTTTTTTCAGTGGTTTATGAAATGTAGTTTGTTCAAAAAGAACAATAGTTCTCAATAGCAATGTAGAATTCTAAATGACATCAGTTAGGCAGACTCATTTAGAAATTCTAAATGACAAAATTTATTTATGAAGGTAAAGAAAAATTATTGTTATTTCATCTTACAATTATGCAAAAGTGGTAATTTCTTTATTTAATTCCATGCAACATGAACAGTATACTCATTTTATGCAACTAGGTGTGACATTTAACTGACATACATGACAGTTTTAGAATCTATATAGGTATATTTAGTTTGTGTGTATTTTTATGTACATAAACATTAACTTTTATTTTCAAAGTAAGAGGTGATAAATTTAAAATATCTACATTATCATGCACTTTTTATATTTTTAGATTGATTAAAGAAGATTATTTCAATACTTTTATGAATTAATGAATCGTAAATTGGAAATAATACTTTTTTTGAAAGAATGTAATATAGTATCTATTTTCTTGTACATTTTATGATGAACAACACACATTTGGGATCCTTATGCATCTTCCTATAACATGAGCACTAATAAACATTCAGGCAACTGACTAAATAGTGCATTCAGTGAATCTGACAGGCATTTGTTAATTGTGATTTATGTTTGAATGCAGTGTGAATATTTGTCCATGCATTTTGGTTACGGTTGGCATTCAATGTCTCTAGTAACATTGTGCAGCATAGATAGAGGCTCTGGAGGGAGTTACCTTGAACAGCTGCACTCCAATGACAGCAAACATGAACTGCAGGAGGTAGGTTACCAGCATGATATTGCCGATCGTCTTAATGGCTACTATCACGCATTTCACTACGTACTAGGGAAGGAGAGAGAGAGGCAAGTGTCAGTATGGAGGTCGGAGATCACCATGGTTATGCTAGCCCAAAGCCCTCAACAGGCAAGGCAGGCAGGCAGGCAGGATTCCAGTCAAATGCACCTAAGGGAGAAGACTGAAGGAAGCTGGCACTCCATGCCAGGGCAGAGTGAGGGCATAAGGAGCTGTAAGCTTTTCCCAGTAAGACCAAGATGTTGCAGTGGCATATTTATCAGTGTATTTACAATGTATATTCTTGATCATTTTCTTTGGAGTAATCTTTGCTAAAAATTATTTGATGGCTTGCAACTGCTTGATCTTGGAGAATATACAGTCTCCTAACAAATATTCACTCCATTCTTGGATAAATTGTCAAAACCCAAAACAAACCAAAAGACTGAGTCACTGGAGTTAAGAGGAGAATGTTTTAAATAGCATATGTAAGGCTGAGAAAGAGAGAGTACAGAGAGCCAGCAAGCAACCTTAAACAAATTTGTTGTATATTTGGACTTGGAGGAGGAGGAGCCCACAAGACACGTTATCTTTAACCTTACTGTGAAAGGTGTTTATATACAACTTACATTGCAGAGAACAAGAAAAATGTTTTCTAATGCCTGGTGGCTCCCTATCTGTTAAAATGAATAATTTTTGCCCTTTCCCCACACCTTGTAAAAACTGACTTACTCCTCCCTGAACCCTGTTGGTTAGTATTGTGTCGGCTGGCTCCTTCTAGGCTGCACAAAAGGAAACACTGGCAGGGCACGACAGAATTCCTAAGTCATCACACTGACATGCAAATATTAGTTAGGGCATGTACACAAATGGCGCAGCACAACGCAACAAGGCCAGGAGCTGGGAGTACAATCTTGCTGGCTGACTCCCTAATACTCCATAAAAATAAAATAAACAGTAAATAAATAAAAAGGAAAAACCAACCAATTTACCAAGGAAATAACATAAGAAAACAAATGTATGAAAATACGTGACATGAAATGTGTAGAATATGAATTAATACTGTAAATAAATATGAATAAACACAAAAGGGGGAAAACCAGAAACCCATTAAAAGATTAATCTTTACCCAAAGGTGCATTTGTCAATAACACATGAATTGCTCTAACTGCTGCCTACCTTAAACAACTGGACTCCAATTACAGCGAACATGAATTGTAGAAGGCAGGTGACCAGGACAATGTTGCCGATAGTCTTTACAGCAACTATCACGCACTGGACTACATGCTATAGGACAGATATATAATCAACAAATACTAGACAATTATTGTGTCTGATGCTGCCGATGTGCTGCTATTCAGTCTTGTTCTCGTTTTCTCTTTTGCCTGCATTTTGGAAACAATAAAAAAAACAAAGAAACCTACTTGTCTCAGTGTGACCTGAAAACATTCTTTCCCTGGAGCTCTTGCTGCAAATAAACTAAAAAATTTATCATCATGAGAAAGAAGCAGCTTGCCACTGACAGAAACATGCGATGGCTTGCACCTCTTTCTTGACTGATAGCATGTTAGTGAATAACAAAACAGCAAAGTGAACAGACATGTACTAAAACAAAACTCAGAATACATGAACAAAACTGTCCATAAATGGAATATCTCTTTACAGTGCATTATATGAAACAAACAATTAAATCATCTTTGAACTCATCAATGAGTTTCCAGAAGGTTACTAAAAGACTACTTTCCTCACCTTAAGTCCTTTTGCTCTGTTGATAGCTCTTAGAGGTCTCAGCACCCTACAGACTCTCAGAATTTTGACTACAGAAATAGCATTTGACCTAAGAGAAAGAGAACACAAATAATATCTAGTGCATTATAAGTCATGTATATATACCAACTGATTGCATTTTCAAAAAGTTTATAAGAGAAATAAAAATCTTTGCAGGTCCAAACATTCTTGCATATTAATGGAATATGATGTTCTTAGGACATTTTAAATAGAAAATTAGCTGGATGTGAACTATATCCCTTCAAGTGGCTATAAAGAATCACCTAAACTTGGCAAAAGTAAAAAAAAAGTGAATTGTGGTAAATAATGGTATGAACCAATTTTGTTACCAAATTCTTCAGGATTTTGATTCATTCTTTCATTTCATGAAGTATAACAGCCTATCAAATTTACTTGTTAATGTCTCTACAGGATGTAAAATGTTCTTATCAATGTTTGAAACTTTTTAAAAAATTTATTATATAAGGAGAGATGATTAATTTACTTTAAAACTAAATTTTGAAATTTAATTACAAATTTTCAGAATTATTTTTAAGAAACTCTAAATTCAATATAAAAGGAAAAAAGTGGTTAAGAAAAAGAACGTACTGAACAAACATTGCAGTGACTGACACGCAGACCACCAGCAAATCAAGGAGATTGAACGCTGAGCGGCAGAAGGCACCTTCGTGAAGAACAAAGCCATAGGAAATCATTTTGAAGCAAATCTCAATTGTGAACACAGTAGTGAAGAACATATCAAAGTAACCAAGAATCTGTAATAGAAAAGAAACAGTAAGTTGAAAAAGATGTCTTAAAAGATGGCATATACCAAAGAAAGTTAAGAATGAATTCTTACTTCATTTCTAGGAGTATGACTCCTAAGAGGATCTTCAGCTGCCAGCATGGCAGAAGAAATCATAATGCATACTAAAATTACATTTCCAAAGTAACTGTGATTGCAGAACCAATGACAGAATATTCTGAATCTGGAGGGCAAGAATAACAAACATAAATATTTTTATTTCATATTAATGAAATTTAAAAAGTTTATTAACCTAGGAAATAGAGGATGAGATGCTGACTTCTCTGCTTGTTGATCTGTTTCATTTCAAAACAGTCATACAATAATAAAAAGCAAAAGAAATAAATTTCTTCAAGAAAGATTCTTGTTGTTGAAGTAATTGAAAGTTTTAAGAATGAAAGTATGTTGCCTAATTCATTTCTTTTTGAAACTTAATTATATTTTATGTATACTATTTTAGGTACTAAAAATACAATTTTTGAATGTGTAGTATCAGGTGCACTTTGTTTTGACTGCATTAAATTTTTATTTGAAATTTTAGTAATGAAAGCATAATCATTTTTATTGCTGTACTATATTCTGTAAATCATACTAGTTTCTCAAAGTACAATATTTTATCAAAAAAGAGAAATAACAATGACAATTAAGAAAAACACACACTTTTAGTGAAACTTAACATGAAATGAATTTTGACTAAAAATACTTTTTTAAACAAATGGGTAATTGCTTTTAAATATAAGTTACTATTTTCAAATTTTATCATGCAGTGACAACCACACATAAGTAAAAATGTTTATTGAAGATATTTACTATTTGAGTGTGACTGGAATGGTTGAATTGAAATGTAGTATTTATGCAAAAGACATTTATTATATACAACATGCGTATTTTGTAAGCCTGTGTGATGTAATTTAATAAGTAATTTTTCTTGCAGCACATATGTAGCTTGGCAAACACCCCAAAGGGTGTACCAATAAAAAATTAAAGCTGTTGATAAAGAGTTTATGCATTCAAAATGTTTAGATTTGACATTTAATAATTTAATGGTTTCACAAACATTAAAATTAACTTTTGAAGAGCTTTTAAAAGAGACTTTTCAATTTGCATGATCATTGTGTACTGTAAACAAATTGTTTGAAAAGCTGAACTCATCAGAACTGCTTTCTATTCATGGCCAGAACTTATCATTTAGTTCACATATCATACAAATGGTTCATATGTACTGCAAACTCAACAGCACAACAATTTTTCATAAGTATCTTTGAAAAAAACAATTGGTGCAACTAATAAAATAATAATTAATATTTTTTTCTATTGAGAAATTAACTTTGTATCAAACATTAATTTATAAAAACCTACAAAAAAATAAAAGTCCAAAAATATATTAACATTGGGATGCTAAATAGGTAATCATGCATTTTATATTTGTTTGCTTCTCAGCATGCCAGGCCTTTGCATATATCTACATGGATACTAGTGTCAACAATACAACATGTAATAAGCTGCATCTAACCTAAATCTAGAACTATGGAAAAATCTATGATCATTCACTACGACAAGTGTGCAAAAATTAAGTTAAAAAATCTGCAACTACTTTTACTACAGCCAGTGACTCGATAAGCATATCTTTCCAACTGTAAGATAAAATGCAACATCACAAACTGAGAATAAATACTATTTACACTACAAAATAATGCACAATTAAAGACAAAAACATTCACAACACACTTCACTGTAACTAAAATTATGACAATGAAGCTTGCAGAAGGCGACAATGTAGTGTGAAGAGCTGCAGGCAAACACTAGTGGCTTCACAACGGACGCTGGAACGAGTGGACGGTTCTAGCTATCACCTGTTGGACTGAGAGAAAATGAAGAAGGAAGATGCTGGAGGTATTGGTTGCTTCTTTGTAGCCATGTTGAACTCTGATAGTCGTCGGGGGCGAGCAGACACTCCATCTTCCATTTCCTCCATGTCTGTATACATAAAAGCAAGTAAAGGCATGAGAAACTCATTAGATATACACGACCGCTACCACCAGGCATTCAGGAATCTTCTGGAACAATTCTATGAGTAGGAGGATGTTAGAGCACTAGTAGATGAACTTTGTCAGCAGGTAATGCTATGAAAAATAAGTTTCTGAACTTTTCAGAAAACTTTTTGTAAACATTCCAGACATTAGCATAATCTGCTTAGTACTGAAGGAAACCACAGTTTTTAAAAGCATATTATAGTGTTCTCAACAAATTGGTTATATCTTGCAAGGATGCTGACAATATAAAGAAGAAAGAGAAAAGATAAATTAAAGAAAATACCAATACATTTGTATTGCTCAGAGACATTTTTGAAACAGTGAATATGTTTGGCATATATTTAACGTTTCAGTTCTTTTCTCTTACAATTTAAAAACAAGAAATTATAGTTTCTCACTTTCATAGTAAAATTTATCTAGGAGTTAATTTGCTTTTAGAAGGTGGCTTCATCCTTGAAATGTTCATCTTCTAATCTTCCAGAGCTCTTAAATCCACAGGGTTCTCTGCATTTTTTGTATGTTCATAATCAATGCAACATTCATAACTGAAATATTCTGTGATTTGAGCTAACTATTTAATTAACAAATTTTCTACACTTTTCATAAAATAATTTAATGCAAATATCTCATATGAGCTAACTTGGCTAAACACATTTATTATTTCTCTATTATTCTGAAGCATTTGTATGAAATATTTGCTCCTCAGGAAGTTCTGATTATTTAAGTTATGAAAGTATGTGAAGAAAAAATGTAAACTAATATTTTTAAAGCATAAAACTGTTTTAAAAGTTAAACATTTTCAACAAGATTTGTGTAAACATTATTTCTCAGAAAACTAAATAAAACAGTTATTTAATTGTCTACATTTTTGAGCTTTTGAAAAGTTCTTTAAAAATTACATGTTTACAATATCTTGAATGAATATTTTGTCTTTAAATTCATTGCTGCTTCAACATTTATCATATATTCTAATATTTCATTAGCCTTTTTTCATCAGAATATTACATATGTTGCTGCACTGTTAAACATAGGAACTTCCAGCACCATGAACCTCAGGAATAAATGTAGCCATAGCATAGCGGTCGTTAAAGGAACATTGTTCACCTTACCTGTTGGTGTGGGAAAAGATAAAGAAGGCACTTCCTTGAGGGAGGGGACGAATAGTTGTTTTGATGCTCAACTCTGACATTCTTCTTGGTCTTGCTGTTGCTGGCATGTCATGATCTTCATCTTCATTATTTCCTTCATCTGAAAATTTGCATTGCAAGATCGCATTTCGCGAATAACTAGTTCTTTTCCTAATTTTTTTTTATCTCTGATCATTTTGTTTTCCTTATTAACTTGATGATGATGATGATGATGATGATCCACTCCTCTGGACTTCACAATCTAAACACCATTTCTGGAGAAAGCTATTTTTTTTCTGACAATGCATTTGTTAAAAAAAAGCCAACTATCTTTGATTTTGTTTCCCATGTTATTCCTCCAAAAATTACTGTAGATGTCTGGATAAATTTTCTCAAAATAAAATGAAAAGTTCAAAAGTCAACTGCATCTTTTAGTATAGGTACTTTCTTGGATTTTGTAAATTGTTTTGTATGGATTAAGTTCTTCAATTTTTTCTGGCAAAAATACTCTGGATGTTTTGCCTTTTTATATTAATCACAAAATGATGTTTCTTGCTATTATAAAATTTGGTTGTGTGGCTGATATTTCCTTCATGAAAATGCTGTCCTTCCATATTTAATTTCAAAACAAATAGGATTGTAGTGATGAGCATCAACTTTTATGTACAGTATCATTTCTCTAAGTGTCAATTTCCTCTAAATGTAAATTTAAAATATTTTGTTTCAAATATAATTAAATTCCAGGAGAGTAGGGATAGTGAGTATTTTGTTATTGAATTATACACACATTAAATTTTAGGAACTTTCTGCTTTTAGTAATATTTATCTTGTACAGATAGCCATTTGTATTTCTAATCAATTTTCTGTGGTATTCAAAGTTACACTCAGTGCTTAATTTGAAGCAAATAAGTGAAGGAACTCACATTTCTTATTAATTCAAGATGAGCACTTCTCTTCACTTGAAGAATCTGCATAACATTGAACTCTATCCTATTTTATAAATTATGTTATATGACAGTCTTATAAGGCCTTCCTTTTGTGCAATAAATTAATTCAATTAAAAATATTACACTTTATATAATTATAAAATCTCCCTCATTTCCTGAAAAAAAAAAATGATAGAGCCTCTCCTAGCTTTCCCAGAAATGAAGCACTGGTTACACTTCTTCTACATGTATTATCTTTGAACAAATCATGTGCAAAGGTCACGAAGAGCTGCTCAAGTGAGCAGCTCACTTGGCATGATCTAACCCAGTGCTTATCAGCGGAGCAACAGGTGTGGCCTGCTGCTTGGCGAGTCAGCACATTGGACGGGAAGGGGAGGGGGTAGGGAAAGTAGAGGAGGGAAGGATGGGAGGAGGTTGGGAGGGGAGGGGAGGAGGATGGGAAGGAAAGTGCAAGGGCTAGTTGTATCTAGTCTAGTGAAAAGCACATATCATATGGACAACTGCAGCAGACAACCTAAGGTAGTTAGGCCCAATCTCTTGCATACGAATTGCCTTTATATAGAGCATTCAATTTTGTCTTTCAAAATTATGAAAGAAATTACTTTTAAAATTAAAAAAAACAAAACATTAAAGTCATTGTCTTATTGACCTAAAAGGATCTTGGGTCAACTTGGCAACAATCAAAGGAAACTTGTCTTAATGATCTATGCTTATGCACAATTGAAAAGTATTAGTAATTCTGGTACATACAGCAACAACCAGTGTGAATAAGCACATTAGTTAGTTTGAACTACTTTTCTGGAGAAGGGAAAGAAACCAGCAAGATGTCATTAATTATTTACTTAAGTGGATCTACACACATATATTTTAATGAAGTCTTTGACTTATGGGCTTGTTTACATTAACAATAAAATAATATTACCACAACAATCTCTCAATGATGTCTTTGATCTCACTATCAGAATTGTAACTGATAAAATATTTCAAATCAGTTCAAATATTCAAAAGGAAAAGAGGAAGGGAGAGCGAGAGAGAGAGAGAGAGTAAAAGAAGGAGAAGTAAACACAGACCAGAAAGCAAATTATTATTTTAATTCATCCATAATTTGCTAAGAGTTCAGTGTTTATGAAGGAAAGTATATTGACCAATAAAAAAAAAGTTATCTCATTCACTTGACATTTACTTTTAATGAGATTTTAAAAGTATGGAGAAAAGTTCCTGCCAGGATAATTGAACTGATTTGAGTATAAGAAATGACTTAATTGAAGCTATCCTTTATCTCTACAACTAATGTAAAAGATTTCAAATACATTTTTGCTCATATTAAATTTTAATTTAATAACATCTTTAAAGATTATTTCTTACCTGGATTGTCAGTCTGTTCATCGTATCCATATTCTTCACTTTCACCAACTTCAAGACGAACTCTTGTATGACTGCCTACTTCTTCGTCTTTTTCTGAGCTGTACACATAAAAAGAAATATTTTTAGTAAAATAAGATAGAAATAGTGTAGTTATAGGTAAACGCAATTCAACATATAAATGGATTTGGCAACAGTGTTAATATTCATTTTGGTAACTTTTGTAAGCCAGGGCAAAAAGAAGTTTGTGTAAATCAAGACATTTCTCAGTGTGCGTATGCACTTCCCACTGTTTTTATACACATAATGTTCTATGAACAGTTGTGTTCAGGGTTTGGATCATAATACTTATTTTTTGGGGAAATTCTATGATATTTATTTTGAATGTGTGAAATGAGCTGTATCATTATGTTGACCCAACCTCTAATATGACTTTATGAGTATGACATTTTAAAAGAAGGTCAATGAGTTTCAGAAATAATGAAATATTGAAAGTTTGTATTCAGTATATTTGTATTTAAAATTGTGCTCGTAGCTTGTATGATTTTGTTTTCTTATTATTGTTCTTTGTGTTTCATTTCTCTTTCTTTTTGTAGGAATTTTGGCATCCATTATTAACTAAATTGTGTCTAGTTATTCTCAAAAACTAGACGGCAGGCCTGGAGCTTTGGATTTTCAATATGGTTTATAATATATTCCTATGGGCTGGACCACTTACATTTTATACAAAGAAAAAATCCTGTTCTATAGGTTTGAAACTGCAATTATTTGAATTGGCATTATTAGATCTCTTGAAATTTATTGGGGGAAGAAAAAAAAGATTGCTTAGGAAGACTATCTTATTTAAGAAGTTATACAGTACAGTACAGTTCTTATAACAAATCAGAAATTATATTAAGTGTTAGCCATTTATGTAATTTATTATGTTATTTTTTTTCTTTCTTGCCTAACCATGTAAGAAGACAAAGTAAAGTAATTGTTCGCAGGAAATCAGCGATTTTTGATAGAAAAACTGTTATTGCCAGGCCCTAGTAAAGAAATAGTGGATGAATCTTGTTCCAATTTGTAGTAAATTACTTCTTCTAACATGTTGTGGCAGAGTACGTGTACTCAGAATTCATGTAGTCAGAATCCATGTTTTGAGGGTCCTAGACTTGGCTCCAAAACATCCGTCCGTCCGTCCACGGTCAATGCTAGTGCGTGAATTCTACAAATGATTTTCGCCAAAACTGATACTCCCTGATCAATCAGAACGCATTTGAGGCCCTGTGAGTTTGAAATGGATATTTTGATTTTTGGGGGTTTTTTACATCAAGCCTGAAGTTGATCAAAATTTTCTCAAAAACTGCTCAAAATATCTTGCTTAAACTTGGATAGCATAAAGATACTTGAAAGAATGGGGCAAGTCTAATTTTTGTTGAAATCCCTGATTTTTCCAAAATGGCAAAAGTTAAACATTTTTTTGATGTTTTTCTACAACTATAACATATTTTTCTTCTTTAAAATCTGTTGTTTAAACACATATCTTGAAATAAGGACAAATACAATTTTTCCAAAATTTTAATAGTTTTTGAGTAATTTTGCGTGAAGTATGGGCAATTTTTAAACAATTATTTTCTCAAAGAAGCTTCAAACTTTTTCTTTACATTTTCTCCTTGTGTGTATCAAAGAACAATATAAATAGTGGCACTGGTCCAATTTCTGGCAAACACTGTACTTTTGAAATTTGCAAAAAATGAACATTGTGAAATTACAATATTGAAGACTAAGATTTTTGTCTTAAATAGAATATGTTCTAAAACAGCCGACCTTTAAAAGAAATCTTATCTACTTTTTAAAAAAGTGAGTAGTTTCCATGTAACTTGTACTTCAAGTTAATGCAACTGATAAAAACAAAACTTTTAAAAACAAAAGTTTTTTCTTTACATTGTTTCAAAGGGTAGAGTATGGGACACTTAATAAAATGGTGCAGATCTGTTTTTTTATCTCAATTAATTTTTGAAAATTGCAAAAGTTGGAAATAATGTGAGAAAGTATGTGCTGTTAAGCAACACCAGTTTTTATTTGTACAAAACTAATTAATTGTATTGATACCATGTATTGATCTTACATCTCAATATCTTCTCTGTTTTCCTCTTCTGTTGGCTCTTCTGGTTCTTCTCCCTCACCTGCTTCTTCTCTTGCTGGTGAAGCACTATGAGATTTTTGTTGTTTCTCCGCCTCAAAATGGATACAAAAATTAAGTGAAACATACAAAATCAAATAATATTCAGAAAGAGCTCTATATTACTGGTTCGGTATCATACCTCTTCTTCAGCTTCCTTTTCAATGGCCGTTAAAGATTCTGCATCAGCTAAGTTATCCACAGCGATAGCCAAGAAGACATTTAGAAGGATATCTGAATTATAAGTGAAGGAATACTCTTATTCTTTGGATTTTGGAAAAAAAATAAAAACAATATTTGAAATGTAACCTTAAATTCTGGGAAAAACTATCTCTTTAAGGAGGGATCTCGAACATTTCACTTCAGAAGAACAAGCCATTTGAGCATTTTTGTAATTTTTCGTGTTATACACATTATAATGTTCAGTTTATGTGAAGTCAAGTCTGGCTATGGACTCAGAATCTGTCTATGATATGTTTAAAATAAATAGATTTATTGAAATTAAAACTAATTTTATATAAATATTTTCATAGTTTCATAAAAGGAATATTTACAAATATTACTGATTGTAATATAGAATGGTGATAAATTGTGAAGGTTTATGTTAAAGGATACAATTACCACATATGAAGAGAATAATGAAGTATATGCATGCCAATATGCCAATACTAGCAACACCACCGTATGCCTGTATTCCATCATACATTACAACATTCCAATCTTCACCTGTGAGGATCTATTTACCAGAGAGAATATTATTTTTTTGAGAAATATTTTCTGCTATTATAATTGTATATAGAATTATTTTCCACTAGTAATTACCTGGAACACTGTGAGTAAACTTTGCCAAAAGCTATCAAAATTGCTTCGGGTTTTATCTTGAGTTCCAGCAAAATCAAATTTTCCACCAAAAACTTGCATTCCAAGTAATGCAAAAATTACAATGAAGAGAAACAACAGTAACAAGAGAGATGCAATGGATTGAATGGAATTCAGCAGAGATGCGACAAGATTTGACAGTGATCTCCAGTACCTAAAAACAAAACACAATTACACATCAGTGCTTTTATATAATAATTTTCAATTTATATAATGTTATTATGCGGGGAAAACACGAATAATATATTCCAAAATTTGAAAATACTGTTTTTTCATTCTGTGAAATAACGATAATTCCTAGAAAAGTAAATTTTAAGCAGATAGGACCTGTTCTATATTCTTAAATGGGTTCACACATACAGGTTGCTTACTGTAAACTCACTTGGTCACCTTGAACACTCGTAGCAGTCGAACACACCGTAGCACTGACACTCCAAGAGGAGGCATAACTTTAGTGTGCGTCAAGACAATCTCACCAATACTTCCAATTACAACGAAGCAGTCAAAACGGTTGAAAAGAGAAACAAAATAACCCTGGAAATCAAGAAAATATGTAATAAAGTTGATCAGGAATTAGAAGTTCTCTCTTGTTCTTCACAATATGTCAAATACGAGATAAGATTATCTAATGAAAGAAGACAAAATTACAAGTGAAATATATACATTAATTATGTTAGGAACGTATATCCTCTAAAAAATTAAATATCTCTGGAAAATGTTATTAAAATTGCTATATCTTTTCGTTGCTGTGCTTTGTTAGACTGTCAACATGAATTTGGTATATCTCTCTGTCTGTGTCTGTGTGTCTGTGTGTCTGTGTGTCTGTGTGTCTGTGTGTCTGTGTGTCTGTGTGTCTGTGTGTGTGTGTGTGCGCGTGTGTGTGTGCGCGTGTGTGTGTGCGCGCGCATGTTCATATGTTCTTATGTGGGTGCGAGAATGTGTGAGTACATGCATGTAGGTATGTAAGTGTGTTGATGTGCGTATGCATCTGTGTGCATTTCAGAGTGTGTATGGAAGTATATGTACATCTGTATGCAAGTGGGTGTAGAACTTAGAATTTGATTATATTCTGCCACAAGACAGAAAACAAATTCAAAACATAGAGCAGAAACAAACACAAATTTGGGTAGCTTAGTGTAATCCTACAATTAAAGTTATGTAACAATAAGCCTAATTTTTATAATATTTGATTGGAATTATCTTCAGTCAACTGGGCATATTTACATATATAAATATAAAAGTCATAGAATGTTGAATAAGGTAATGGAGAGCAGATTATAAGAGAAGTACATAGTCATTGGATTTAGGTGGCAAACATTTCCTTGTGAAAATAATTTAGGCAAAGAGGAGATAAGTTTATTATGCTAAGAAATACATACTTGTATGTATTTAGGTCTACATACCCGGAAATGTATATAAATGTGCAGATTAAAGATAATGTATAAATTGAAATTTACTGGATGTTAGCATGCAAGATAACAGTCTAGTTTATTTTATTCAATATGTAGCATTAAATTGATTAGAAATAGAATTAAATTCATGAACTATATTTTTAATATTCTACTATTCTGTTTCCTATGAAAATATACTTCTTTAAATGTTAACGAAATATTTAATTTTTTTTACGTTGATTCCCAATATTCGTTTCTTATAATTATTGTTTTTAATAATCAAGGAACACAATTAATATTACATACATAAGAATTACTGTAAATTAGTTATTTTACATCAATACAAAAGTTAACTGAAAAACCTTATACTAGTATTACACATTACATTACCTCAAAAATAACTTTGTCATAAAAGACTCACCTGAAATCCTAAACTGTACATTTTTACTAACATTTCCATAGAGAAAAGGGCTACAAAGAATAAATTAGTCCAGTCTGAAATGATAAAGTTCAATTTATTAATTTAATTATCTGTCCTCTGAGTACCACAATGTTGCAGATGAAATTATATTTCAAAATAAATTTATATATTATTTTTGTTTACCTTGAAAATCATCAAGCCACGGAGGTTGGTGATAATGTTCTGTGGCCAAAACTACTGTATTAAGGAACACAAGCACAATAATAAGCCAGTAAAACACTTGAGATTTTACTGCTTTCCTGCAGCCTCGTCTTAAACGTCTATTAACCCTGTAAATTTCAGTTTTCAAATAATCTTGACTGAACATTTCCATAGAACAATATTATACGGGAAGAAAAGGAGGGGAAAATGTAAGAAATAATTAAAGTATTTATGCACAATAATATTAGAAGTGAACCTGTCAAATTCTTTCTTCTTTTTCCTCCACCATGATTCTTGTTCTACTTCTCCTTCCTCTCCTTCTGGGTTGTCTACTGCTCCTGCTTCATTTGCTTCTTTTGCTGAAATTAATTAAAATATGTTTTATTGGACCATGTACCGACATTGTATTTGAATAGTCACAGCACACTTATCCTCAACCTCTGATCAATGGAGTTCGTATGGAATTTAGTCACTCCTTGTGAAATTAGTGGTGAACAAAATATATTTTTCATAATTCATGAAATGGACAAATCTTTGTGGGAAAGTTGAAAACCAAACTACACTCTTATTATTATTATTATTATTATTATTTTGATATTTATTTTTATTTTGGAAAGCCTACAATGAATTCTTATTTTGGTAGTCTTATCCAGGGGAAAATTATTGAATTTATATAATCAGGAAGTAATATTTCAAATCAATGAATGCATTGAAGAAAACATATCTGGAGAACATTTACTGTTTGATTTTTATTTCATGGTAAGAAGAATACACAGAGACACGCCTTGAGAATTGACATCTTACATTTTTTTGCTGTCAGAGTGAAATTATTTGGGGATTAAAAAGATTGTCCTAACAAATGCTAAAGGAATGGTAACAATACAAGGAGAAGTATTTGAAAACTTCAAGAAAGAAATCAGACTAAGTTCAATAAGTAAAACTGTCAACTATTCTATTCAATCTAGCAATGGAGCAAGTTTTTGGAGGAATAAACATAAGATCGAAGGAAACACTATATGACAGAATGGTACACGTATTAGTGTAGTATGCAGTAGATATGGTGTTGATGCAACTAGACATCTTTTAAAAAGATGTCAAGAGTTGGAGGAAGGAACGGAGGCAATGAGGTTAGAGATGAACAAAGATAAGATTAAATACACGATATGCAGCTGAAATAAAGGAAGGTATGTGAGATATTTGTATATTTAGGTTCTATCATCACCAAAGAAAATAATTTAAGTCTAGGATAGCAAAGGGAGACAAAGTCTATCATTCAGTACAATTAATCCTGAATAGTGAATCTCTCTTGGAGGAAATTGATAAGAATATCATTTAAGACAGTTATAAGGCCAGAGCTCACATACAGATCAGAAACATGGACCTTAAATGCAAAGGATAGCAATATGTGGAGAATACGGGAAAGGAAGATACTACAAAGGATTTTTGGCTCTAAAAAGAAGAGTACTGAGTGAAAAATTATAAATAATATGGGTATAGAACCAGTTTACAATGCACCAAATATTGTAATAGATATAAAAATGAGATTAAAATGATTAGATCATATTGAGAGAAAGGATGCTGAAGAGGTGCTCAAAAGAATGTTCAAAGGAAAACCAAGTGGAAGAAGAAGGGTGGGATGACTACAAGTACAATGGCTGGATGATACTGAGGAGGATTTAAGAGAAATGGGTATAAGAAGATGAAGAGGGAGAGTGGAGGACTGAGCAGAATGGAAGATTGTACTCTAACAAAAGCTGCGGTTCTTAATGGAGCATAGAAAGGCCAAAGAAGGAAGAATAAGAAAGAAGGAATAAGAAGAACAAGAAGGAATAAGGAAGATGATGAAAGAACAAAGGATGAAGAAGAAGGAATATTAAAAAGAAATGTTAATAGTTGCTGGGATTACTTTTAAATTAAATATAGTAAATCCAGAATTTAATTTTACAACTTTATCTTTACAATCTTTTTTATAGGCTTAAATGTCAATAAATGAATATTTCTATCTAATAATTCTTTGCTTTTTTTATTTTTTGCTAATTATTTTTATAACGTATGTTTAAACTTGTTGCAACTAAATAAATTTCAACCTGTTGTGGTTATGGGAGTTTACATTTTTAAAATTTTGAACAGGAAAGGCTTTTCTGGCCTCTTTTGCCTCTTTTTGTTCCATTTTAGATTATATTATTCCTTTAGCAATTAATTTTTCCTTTATGAAATAAATGAATAAATTAAATACATATTAAACATTTTTGGAAAATATTCTGAAGCACAGAAAATAAATATAATATTAATTCTTTATTGTTACTTGAAATATGGTATATTAACAACCAAACATAACAGACTTAAATATATGAAATTAAAATAGTCAACACAAGAAAAAAACAACAACAAAACTTTCTTCATTGTTCAACAATGTTTCATCTCAGGGAGTCTTCTTCAGGTTACATTTCATAAAAGTGGATGACCCATAGAAATACAGAAAAATCATTGAGTAAATTGATCATTATTGTTTTGTTGTCAATTTTATGAGGATATGGGCCGATTGATCCATTCACTCAATTTTGTTCCCCTTTTGGGAAGACCTCAAAGTTGCAACTCAAAAGTTGCATGAATTTGACAAGTTCCTATTGGAGTTGTGAAGGAGAGATGATTCAATGACAAAAAAGTACACTTCATGAAATTACTTTAAAAGAATGAATTAATTTTTTTATTCCTGCTGCGCTGTTGAATCAAGGTGCATAAAGTTTTCTTGCATCCGGAATCTACTTTCCGATTTCAGACACTTCTCGTATTTCCTGTGTTTTGGCGCGCCGTTTGAACTGACGCAACAGACCGACAAGCCGCGTACCGGTGTTAGGAAGCACTTCACGAGGAGAGTGTTTATAACATTAGGAGCAGAACAGGGAGCTTGGAATATTTTCCTAAAAAGGTGAAACAACAGATACTCGTAGACATCAAAATTGCGATTGTATTTATTGGCGTTCCACCAACATAGGACACTTCTAGAAGATTCAACGCACGCACGCACGCACGCACGCACTTTATAAATGGATATTGGTGAAAAGTAAGTGCGGTTAACTCCGACACCTGTGAACGATCTTCATGAAAATTGGCGCATCTACGTGTATTTTTTTTCACACAGAAGGTTTAAATTTGTGTAAATTGGTGCTGTTAATTTTGTTGTAAATCAACAAGATGGAGCTCTAGAACAAAACTGAATATTCATGTCAAATAAAACTCTTTACACTCGGCAGAATTTTTGAATCTGTATCGTTAAATAGCTCCTGAACGAAGTCTTCTAACAACTAAAATATTGAGACCAACGTCATCAAAGAAACATTTCCCACATCCTAATAAACAGGGTGAGATCTTCCTGAACATTCTATTACTTTTTGCTGATCCGCCGCTTCTCGATTTTGCCCCACCTGCTCAGAGACGTGCAGAATCTGTAACTCAATGTGATTGAGAGAGACGGAGAGAGATAGAGAGAGACGGAGAGAGATAGACGGAGAGAGAGAGAGGAGAGAGAGACGGAGAGAGAGAGAGACGGAGAGAGAGAGAGACGGAGAGAGAGAGAGACGGAGAGAG